CTCCGGTGTCCCGGCCGGGGCGGGGCGCGGCGGTGGCGCCGGGCCTCTTCCCCACTCGGGCGCGCAGGCCATGGAGGCACTCAGAGAGTCTGTGTTGCATTTGGCCTTGCAGATGTCGACCTACAAGCGGGCCACGCTGGACGAGGAGGACCTGGTGGATTCGCTCTCCGAGGGCGAAGTGTACCCCAACGGCCTGCAGGTAGGAGCCCCCGCCCGCCTGCTCCGTCCGGCCCGGGCCCGGGCATGCGCGCTGGCGCTGCCCCGCCTCCATCCTGCCTGCGGGAGGTGGGGGGCCGGCGCCCCGCAGCTGTGCGCCCAGGGGAGGATCCCTAACTCAGCAGCAGTGCCCGTGAGGCGCAAAGCTCCCCCACCCCAACCTCACTAGCCCTGCACGAACCCCAAAGCCACCAGGCCACCTGTTTCGGTGCGATAGCCCAGGTCACAGAGTTGAAGCGCCCTTCAGACCTGCACTGACCCAGCAGCCTTTTAGAGAAGAAGCTGCGATGAGCTGGGTTCCCGGGACCACACAACCCATCGCTGCCAGAACCTAAAACTGCCCCACCTTAGCATGGACCCCATGCTCAGCCCTGGACGCCTGGGACAGTCGGTCACTGTCTGGAGGGCATTACTCCTATCTCCTCCCCACACACCTGAATTTCCTCGGAGTAGGTACCGGCTTCTGCCGGTCACTCCCTCTCCCCTTTCAGCCCACCCAGGAAACCCAGTTCCTTCTCTCCGCTGCAGCTGCACCGAGGGACACAAGGACAGAACACCTCTGGCCTTGCAGCCCTCCATGACTATGCTGTCCCCTCTTTCTGCACAGCTGCCCTGGGACACTTGTGCCCAGGTGCTCCAGCTTAGAGAGAGGAGTGGGAACACTTCAGCCCAGGAGGATTTGTGCCAGGTGGACCAAGGGAGGTGTTGAGAGTCCTGGGCCAGCTGGTGCCTGACACCTGATCCCAGCTCATCCCCGGGGCAAGTTTGGGAAGAGTGGAATCTCAGCTACCAGGCCCAACCCTAGATAGGCACACCTCTTACTGCTGGAATTATACTAGTAATCAATGAGGGAACCTTCTCCGGGGTAGTTAAATAGGCCCAGGAGATCTGAATTTATAAGCCCAAGGGCTTTATATACTGGAAGATGGCACCCCTAGCTCCACCTTCAGGACCACTGCCAAGGACTGCGGGGTTACTTCCCCACTCTGTTAAAGGAAACAGGCTGTAGGAAGGGAGACGACTTGCCTAACTAAGGTCAGTCACAGAGCTAGAAATCTGGGAGCAACAAACCCCATCTGTCTAGACTCTTCCCTGTGGACCCTTCTTAAGAGGCTAAATCCAGCAGGAAATTACTTTTCTGTGTCAAGCCCTTTTCCCTTCACAAATCAAAACAGAATATAATCAGCAATCTTTTTTTATTCTCATCTTCCACAGAAGGTTCTAAATATATCAGCACAAAAGCATCTCAGAATTCACAACAAAAGAGTGCGCCTTATTGTCATAACAGCAGCCCACTTGAGTTTATAGACAGGACATTCGTCCACGTGAGACCCGTGGCGGAGCACGGGCTGGGGGGCACCAGGGACCCAGTTTGAAGCCAGGGACCCAGTTTGAGTCTTGACTCCACGCATGACAGTGGGCAAATTGCTAAATCCCTTTCAGGCATAATTCCCTCGTCTGTAGGATGGATTAGAGAAGGTGACAGGAGTCATATACTGGGGCCTGCTAGAGGGTAAGGACTCGGGTGCTCATGATGAAGCTGGACACAGAGGAAGGCTAGGGACAGTCCTGTGGTCACATCACTGTTGCGTGCATTCAAGTTCCGTGTTGATGTCCCTGTGCCAAGCTGCCCTACTGGGTATATTTTCTGCCTTCCATGCAAGAGAAAATCAAAAAGGTTGCCCAAGGATTTGAGGCATTTCTGTGGGCACTGGGCTCGCTCCGAGCCTGCATGCCTTCCCCAGAGCAAACACCACCGGCCAGTGCTTGCTGTCCTAGTCAGGACCCAGCCTCCTCAATCATGAGCAGTTTTCTGTTAATTTTGTATTTTCAGTCATTGAGATTTTTTCAGTATAAAAGCTTTATCATGCTCATTTGTGGAAGAAACAAAAAGGACACAAATATTTTTTAAAAAAAAAGATTTTAAGGGGCTGCGGATTTAGGTCAGCGGCACAGTGCCTGCCTGGCAAGTGCAAGGTTGTGAGTTCCATTCCCAGTACCTGAAAAAAAGCAAAAAAAAAAAAAAGATTTTAAAAAGTGGCTGGGCACAGTGGCACATTTCTGTAATCCCAGCATTGTGGGAAGCTGAGCTAGGATTGCAAGTTTGAGCCCAGCCCTGGCATTTGAACAACTTAGCAAGATCCCGTCTCAAAATTTAACACACAAAAAAGGAGTAGCTCAGCTGGAAGGGCCATGGGTTCAATACCCAGTACCATTTTAAAAAAGAAGGAAAGAAAAGGGAAGAAAACAAGGAAGAAAAGGAGAGAAAGAAAGAGAAATCCCACCACTTAGAGATGATAGGTTCTTGTCTCTTGTGTGGGCATAACTTTGTTTTAAGGACTAGGGATCAAACCCTGGGCCTTGTGCATGATGCCAAGTAAGCTTCTCCATCATTGAGCTACACCTTCAGCCACACACACACACACACACACACACACACACATATATATGTACATATATTTGTTGTTGTTGTTTTCTGGTACTGGGAGTTGAACTCAGGACCTCGTGCTTGCCAGGCAGGTGCTGTGCTGCTGAGCTAAATCCCCAGCCCCCTACATATATTATTTTTAATATAATTAAGTTCATTTTAAATACAGTATTATAGCCTGCATTTTTCTTCCAGTGTTACTTCATAAGCATTTTCCATGTTGTTAAAAATTTCTGAAACGTAACACTTTATGCTAACAATATATAAAAAAAAATTTATTCAATCTGGCATAGTTGGGCATCTTAGGTACAGTTGCTATCACACTACGGATGACCATATTTTAGCCTTTCAGATTATTTCCTGAACACTGGTGGCTAGAAACACAATTGCACCCTCATTTTTAGTCTTTTTAAAACAGACACTGCACCCTAAATCTTCTTTTTTGATTGGCAGCTATACAAATAAGCTCTTCAATGTTTCAAGACTTTTTTTTTTTTAAACCAGGATCTTGCTATGTAGCCCAGGCTGGCCTCCAACTTGCGGCAGGCCTCCTGCCTCAGCTTTCTGAGTACTGGGATTACAGGCATGTACCACCATACCAGGCCTGAGGTTTCAGGGTTTTTGAAGCCCACTGGCTCTAAGGAAATTGAAGTTATCAGCACCAGTATGTAGTAAATGGAAAATTCCATCTCCCAGCTCCACCTGGCACTTTTACTACTAGATATGTTGATAGACGTTGAATTTAGCTGGGGCAAAGTACTATCTGTACCATATCTCTAAGAATTTTTATTTTCCTTTGGCCCATTTTAGGCACAAATGACTTGCAATCCACTAAAATGAGTCATTTTGGACCAAGGACAGAATTTAAAGCCACACAGCCATAACTTGGCGCCCTAGTTCTGTCTCTCATGGGCTGTGATACCTGAAAGCAACTCACAGCTTTCTTTATAAAATGGGTTACTGTTGTTAAGGCGTCTCGCACAGCTGCGGCAAAGAATCAGATGAGACGGTGTAGCGCTCAGAAAATGGATTTGGTTGTTACCTGAATCCTTATGGAAACTCACTGTGTGTGAGAGCTCAGTGATTCCTGCGTGGAATAACTCTTCCCATTCAACACCTCAGCCCTGCCAAAGCCAGCGCCTGATCCCCCCATACCTCAGCACAGCTCTGCAGTGGCTTAAAGGGAAATAGTCAAGGTCACACCTGCAGCCAGTCTGGGAGCAGACAGCCCAGACTTTTGAGACTCACCCATTTTCTTTCCAAAGTCTGTGTTTGTGTTAAGAAAAATGAAAGCTGAGATATTTAAGTGCGTAGTAGTCTATCGGTCTGTCTGCCTGCCTGTCTTTCTCTCACACCTTGCACAGGCTGTCTTTGGATGCTGATTTCAGAGACAGGCGCACTTGGTTCTCACCAGAGTCCTTTTAGCTCTGCCCACCAGTTACAGTATTGTGGTCACACCTGGGACTTCATTCTGGCTTCCTCATTTTAGAGAGGGGAAACTGAGGCCCCGAGGCTGCCCAGGCACACACAGTGGAGTCGTGGCTGGCCTTTGACATCTCAGGTTTTTTATCTTTCTCCTGTGTGCCATGGTAAGCTTGGTGTCCCTCTGAAGCAGAGAAATGCTCCCCCCAAACACCAGACTGTGATTCCTCTTGAGAGTCAGTACCTTTCACATCCCCTCACCTACGGCGGGGAGTACTTGAAGCTGTTACCAGTCCTGTGAGGAAGGTCAGGCATGGGGACAGGGGGCAGGAAAGGGGTCAGGCTGAGATGGGGAACAAGAGGGCATCATAGTTGTGCTCTGGGCTGACCTCAGTGGCCTCCACCAGAGTCCACCGCATGGAAACATTACTAGAAGCAACTTCCCCAAGCTGACACCATCACAGAGGCCCTGCCAGGCTGAGCTCTCACGGTCTGCCTCCTCCAAAAGGCTGACCCCGAGGTGGGCGGCCTGGGCCCCCTTCCCGGAGCTGGGCTTTTGGGCTGCAAGGGGTGGGCTCCCTGCCAGGCCTTGACAGAGGACTCCTCTTTGCAGCTCTGTGTAGCCCTGGGGTTAGTAGGGGACCTGGTGATGGCTCAGGACAAGCCTCTGCCTTCTCTTCCAACCCAACCCTGAAAACCAGGCTAAGCCTGGCTGCTCTCCCCCGCCGCTGCCAGCTTGGCTCCCGGGCCCTGGGCGGGTGCCGCATCCTCACTTGCAGAACTTGTTCTTGCTTTAAGCCTAGGTGAGTTCTGTAACCAAATCTTTATCCCTGCTTAGGGCTTTGTTCCCTTGACTGTGGAAACCCTGGGAACTCCTGGGCCTGGCAGCTTGGCTCTTTCTCTCTGTGTCTGTGTCTACGTCTGTGTCTCTGTCTGTCTGTCTGTCTGTTTCCTTCTCTTGTTTCTCTGCCTCTGCCTCCTTCCAGCTCGGTCTCCGCCCTCTACCACTCTCGTTGGAGGGCACCCGTTTTTCTCTTGGTCTCATTCTCTCTCTGCCTGATGTCATGATGAGTAGGAAACTATGACCACCAGCAGGCTCTGTCCCCAGAGACCCTCAACTCCACCTTCCAGGCATTGGCCCTACTCCTTGGGCAACAGCCATGTCCCACTTAACTTCCCAAGGTGGATGGGCTGCTCGCCACTAATTCTCCTGCCCTCTAAGTGGCCAAGCCAGGTGTCCCATGGTTGACATGCCCTCATTTCCTAAAGGAAAGTGAGAAACTACTCACGACACCCCTTGCTGCGACCTCAGCTCGTGAGATCCTCTCCTGGTCCCATGAAGGAGGAGAGCGGGGGAACCAGGGGAAAGGGATACAGCTGAAACCAGGTGGCTATAAGGAGCAAAGTGGGCTGACCCATCCCCAGCCGTAGCCCCAGCCACATCCACGGCACCGGGAAACGAGTCCCCTCTTCTAGAGAGGCCCCTGATCCGAACCCAGTGCCCCTGGGTGACTTCTGCCCCCAGGAGCTGCCTCCGCGTTCATTCCACGGTTAGAGGTGATGCTTATCCTGTCCAGAACCCAGAAGGCCCTTGGTCCAACAGTGCAAGTTGAGCAAAGAACATGGCAAAGGTTAAAAATCCTATTTTCAAATCCCATTTGCCATTCTTGCCTGGAACTATGAATTGTTAATTCAATTCTGGCTTAATTCTAATTTAATTTGCAGCAAACACCATCTGTTTAAATTCAGCACTTTGCTTGACGTGGAACAATGTGGCTCAGCTTGACTGCTCCTCTGGGGAGCGCCTGGTCGGGAGAAGGCTGCCGGATAGGGAGAGACAGGCTGTCTCCCCTTTTGTGCCCCACACACTTCCTGTGTCTCTCGTAGGCCCAGTGTGCCTCTTAGAGATGTGGTGAAGATAGAATGACACCATCTAACAACCAACCAGAACGCGCAGGCCCAGAGTGAACCCTGGGATACTTATTAGCTGTCATTAGAACTTTCTCTTTCCCTCGCTACCAGCCTCTTTCATCTGCCTTCTGCTGGAATCTGCCCTCTCTCCCTTTCACTTCCTTGGTTACCTTTGCTCCTGGCCCCACCTCGTTCCCTTACCATAGCATCTCTGGAGTTTCCTTATTTATCCTGATAGTTGGTCCTCTACCTCCCTGAAGCTGCAGCCACGCAGAGGGGTCTCTGAAATCGCTGCCTCTGTGTGTACCCTGCAAGCTGAGCCTTGATCATGGAGCATGAGAGGCCATGACAGGGAGGAGGAAGGCTGAGACTTGTCGGGGTCAGGACAGCCAGGCAGAGGGACACAAATGGGAGTGTCCCACATGAGCCAGCATCTGCCTCCAGTCCTGGGGGCCACTCTGACTGCTGGCACCCCAGGTAAACTGAGATTCTCTCTTTTACTTTTGTTTTGTTTTGTTTTGTTTTGTTTTTCTTCCAGTACCAGGAATTGAACTCATGACCTTGCGCTTGCCAGGCAGGCGCTTTGCCGCTGAGCTAAATCCCCAGCCCCTTCTTTTACTTTTTTAACTGAGAGTCTTGATGTCTGAAAAAGTATTCTGTAAACCTTTGAGTGCCGAGTACCTGTGAGTCTTGTCCTTTCTGTGACGCCGCACCAGGTGTCATGTGAAAGCGTAAGGCATGAGAGAGAGTAGCACCCTCAGAAATCTTCACCTCTCTCGTTTTGAGAAAAGATGTTTAAGGGACTTAATCAAGTGGCCTTCCTCCCTCTACCTCTGTGGAAATGTCACCACTTCTCAAGTTCTGTTTCTCGGTTTCAGAACTCAGGTTTTCTTCCACAGAAAGCGCTCCTGTTCCCTTTTGTCTGGCGCAGCAGTCCCAGTCATTTCCTGCCCAGAGTGAAGCCCCAGATACTTAGTAGCTGTCATTAGTACTTTCTCTTTCCCAGCACTGCTCACGGTGACCCTTCTTCCTAAGGTGACTATCTCAGATCCCCAAGTGCCAGTGTGGGACTGCCTGGAGATTCCGACCTAGCTGTGGGGGAGCCCATTCTCAGCTTGGGGATCTTTGCAGGTCAGAGTCTGGATCCCCTCAAGCCCCCTATCATGCTGCTGTGACAGGCTCCATAGGAGTCTTCCCGCTCCTGTCCCACTCCCTGCCAAGCCTTGCTCCTTTCTCCTTGCCCTTCCCAAAGGGAAAAGCTAATCATCTCCTCCCAGTCCTCAGCAGGAAGCCCTGGCTTACAGCACCCCTTGGGCTCTAGGGCTCATACCCTTTGTCAGCTCCTATGTATTCTTAAAGACCCAGCCCAGACATCATCTCCTCTGGGAAACCTTCCCAGACTGACCCCCACCCCTCCCTGCTCTTTTCTTTATCTTCCTCCCTGTTGGGCTGTGGGCGGTGAAAAGCAAAGGAGTCCATCCTCCCCTCCATACTGCCACAGGGTCCTGAGTTGGGCCTAGCTATTTGTACAGGGAGGTGCTTCACCAAACCAAGCCATCTTCAGGAGACCCTGCCTGTCCTGCGCCCCTGGCTATTGCAGGAAGCACCTCTTGGGAGAGAGAGGAACCCCGAGCTGGCTTTGGGTGTGAGGGCCCTGTGCTGTTGGCACTCCTTGAGCCTGGAGGGCCACCACGCCCTCCGTTTCCTCTCATTGTGCCTACTTTCCTGTTTAGCTAGACTGGGAGGGAGGGGACGTTTTCCCTGCCTTTGAGGACCTGCCTGAAGAGAGCCATTTCATTTCTCCTTTGTCTCCCCAGCAGCTCCTAAGACCCACATCTCTGACCCACAAGTGGGTTGTGGAATTTCCAGACTCCTGTCCAAATCCCAGCTCTGCCCTCCTAGCTGCATGAGTAGCAGCCAGGGTCTCACCCCTGTGTGCCTCAGTTTCCTCATTTGTAAACAAAGAATGACTACGTGCATTGTGCCTGGAACTGTGAAGGCTGAACGAGGGCTAACCCTGCCTTTCAGCAGCATGAGCCTTGGTCACATTGTCCTTGTCCCCAGCCCTGTGGATGTGGAAGCTGTGGGGAGAGCCCAGCTGGACACTGCTGGACGCCTCAAGTCCAAACATCCTGTGCTTTTTTGAACTCCTTACTGGAGAAATAGGGAAAGACTGCTTTTTTTTTCCTTTACCGGTATCGGGTGACAGAAAACACAAGCCTGGCTGGGTTGAGCTGGAAGCAAATCTCAGCCACCGAACAGGGTGGCGGCTCCTTCCCTGGATTTGGGCAGATTCCGTGGGAACTGGACCACCCCTAAGACAGGAGGGCAGCCCCATGCCTCCCCAGGGCTTGGGCCTGCACCACAACCCCTTCCTCCTAGGGAGGGGGCGTCCTGTGCTCACATCCTCCCCACCCCTTCTGCCACCCTCCCTGCAGGTGAACTTCCGCAGCCCCCGGAGCAGCCAGAGATGCTGGGCCACACGGACCCAGGTGGAGAAGCGGCTGATAGTTCTGGTGGCACTTCTGGCAGCAGGACTGGTGGCCTGCCTGACAGCACTGGGCATCCAGTACCGGACAAGTAGGTGTCTCGCGTTTCGTGGTGAGCTGGGTTCCCTTCTGCCCTGCGCTCTGTCCATGTGTGTGAAGCACTTCTCTGCTTGAGCCTGAAGTGGCCTCCATGGAAGGCCTAGCGGCTCAGCCTCCTGAGCTAGACTGAGCCCAGGGGCTGAGGGAGTATGAAGAGTCTGGAGTGGAAGGGACAGGAGTCTGCCTCCTAACTTGGTAACATATAGGCTGTGTGACCTGAGACAGGTCACCTATTTTCTCTGTGTCTTCTCTACTTTAAATGGGGGGCGTGGAGCAGGGCCCAGTTTGGGGATGGCTCTGGGGACATTCTGGTGCCTTGAATAGCTCTAGGCGCTGTTGTCCGGCTGTGGGGCTGGGTAGATGATACAGGCTGACAGTCTGCCATCTATAGTCCCACTGGAATAGCATTGACAGCTTCTGCTTATGCAGAGTTGCCAGGAACCAAATGCTACCTGCCCTCTGCAGATGCACCCTCATGTCCTCCTCATAACGCCCTTATGAGGTGTGTTTACCATATGAGAACCATGCCTTGGTCCTTTTTCATATGAGGAAACCGAAGCTTGAGACTGAGTGACTTGTCCGAGGGTACATGGCCAGCGGGGGATGGAGTGGGGCAGCTGGAATTTGCCCACAGGCTGTGGGGCTGGGGTGAAGGGGCCCCACCTCCCTTTGGAATCACAGGACATGCATATTAGTACCCCAGAGAAGCTGTCCTGTGATCCAGCACATTGTATCTCTGCAAGTGTCTGTCCCACCTTGTATGGCAACAGGATGGGCTTCTCTTGTCATCCTGCTGCCAGGGGCCTGACTCTGGTGCTGTGAGTCCAGCCCAGTAGATATGGCCAAGCACCTCATTGGATGCTTAGTGCTTATGGAACTAGAAAGGGTGAGTCCAGGTTAAAATCGTGCAGGGGAGTCCAGCCAATCCCAGAGTCCCTTACTCTCCTGTGGCCCAGCCTTCAGAATTCTAATGGTCCCCCTGATTGGGCGGCCAGAGGGGATTTTTCTCAGCGTCCCTCCACCAACTTGATCTCTCGCCCCATCAGAGAGTCTGTGGCTGTGTTTACCTTCCCCACACAAGGTGCTGGTCTGTGAGGTGGCTGTGCTGGCCTGGGTTGAGGAATAGCCCTGGGGACCTGGAGAGAGGGCAAGGATTTCAGCTGGGTCCTCCTTACATCTCTCCTGTGTGGGGCACATAGTCATTCACGCTACAAACACTGAATGAGTGCTGACTTTCTGGCAGACACTGGGCTAAGTACCTACTTGGCACTTAAGAAATAATCGCTTGATTATTCAACTATGTAATGCTTTATGGGTGGTTTACCAGATGTGCCTGGCCCAGCAGGTGCTTAATACATATCTGCCTCATTAAGTACCAATTTTCAGGCCTTTAGCCATGTATATTAGCACAGTGCCCACACACCATAGGTGTCCAAATAGTAAGCTGAATGAATGATTAGTAGGAAGAGGGATTGAGCTGGGAACAGCCTTTCTCTGTTGAAAGCGTATGTGTATGTCACCGTGCAAGCATGTGTCTGTGTATGTTGGGTGTGCATGTGCCAGCTCTGCCAGCGGGGCACAGGCTGATCATCCTCATACTGCAGCTGCCTTCCCGCCTCATCCTAAGTCAGCTGCAGTTCAGAGCATCCACCTGCGTATGGGGGCCCTGGCCAGCGCCATCTGCCCAGCTCTTGGCCTAAAACATGGAAGGCAGGTGGACCCCAGCAGCTGTTGCTGCCCTGGGACTGCCCCTAAGAGCTCCCAAGATGTCTCTTCACCAAGAACCAGAAAGGAGCCCCCAGGGACAGTTTGTGATCAGATCCAAAACTTGTCTGCTGATATTGCCAAGTGGGGCCTGTGAAGGGTGCCTGCTTCTTCCTCTATTCTGCTTCCAGGGCCTCACAGGTTTTCCCCAGTGTGGACCTGGAAAAGGAATGTCCCTCTTCCTCTGTGGTAGAACTGAGCCAAGGGCCGGTGACCCCTGGGCCAGCAGAGAAAGCAGTGGCCACCCTGGATATTGAGAGTAACCTTGTTACTCAGCAGCGGTGCTGACGTTGACCACACTTGAGCCAGCATCAGGCCAGTCAAAGCAAAGCCTCTGATGATTCTGGAAGACATCTCGGCGATGTCTGGACATTTAAGCACATTTTGACCTCTCTTGATGCCGCACCCTGCTCTCCAGAATCTTGAAGCTGCTTTGTAAATAGTAGCAGCAAAACAAACAAATTCTCAGGAAATACTTTAAAGCATCTTAGGTATTGTCTTAGTTAGTTTTCTCTCATTGCTGGGACAAAATACCCAATGTCCAAAATTAAGGGAGGAAAGGTTTATTTAGCTCACAGCTTGTAGAGGTTTCAGTCCATAATCAGCTGGCTCCAAAGCAGGGTGGCCCGGTACAGGGGCAACAGTTCAAGGCAGCAGAAGACAGCAAAAGCAACAACCAAAAAGCCTCTTTTCCTCCCTGATATTGTAAACCAGCTACCAACCTCTAGGGCGGGTATAGCACTCACACCATCTCCATACCCTCCTGTTGCATAAGAAGAGGATGTTTACAAAGGGGAGGACCCTGGCCCCCTGCTGAGTCCCTTAGTTAAACTTCTAAACTTCTCAAGTTGACACAGTGTATCAACCATGACAGGTAGGTTAAGGCTAGGCACTGTCCAGATGCCTGGGTTAGACTGGGGGCTGGCTCCCTCCTCCCAGCTGATCATGCATTTCCTAAAGGGAAGAAATACTTCCTTCCTTGGCAGGTGGTAACCAAGTGCTGGACAAAATGCTTTCGCTCGGTCTGTCATTTGTTTATTCCACAAACATGTGTTGGACAGCTGCTAGATGCAAAGCAAGTGCTGACCAAAGGACATAGAATAGCAAGTAAGATGCCATCTGTCCCCGCAAGTTCATATTCTAATGGGGAAGGGAACAGGAGATCCTCATGACACCGCATAATGGTTCAGTAACTAAGCAGTCATTGCTTAAGCACCATGGAGGAACCAGCCATAACAGAGGAGGTACTTAGCTAAGGGCTCAGATCCCTGAAACCAACTTCTGTACACTGATTCTTCATTTCATTTTTAAACTCACGTCCACCCTACAGTCGGTCCACTGGGTATTTCTACCAGCCAAGATTTAGTCAGGCTTGACTTCCTGTGGCTTGGTATATAAAAACAATAGGTATTTTTTCCCTTTCCCAAACATGAAGTCATATCATAATAGTGAATAAGTTCTTTCTCAAACTGTGCAGTAATTCTCCTCCCCTCCTCCCATGCCAGGGGACTCAGCAGGGGGCCAGGGTCCTCACTTTGTAAACATCCTTGTCTTGTGCAAGACTCCAGCCATCCCATGTGGGGGACTGAAGTAATAACTCTGATGGAGATGATCTGATCTAGAAATACTGAAAGTGGCAGCAACACCCCCACCATGGAAAGGATTCTCCATGTTCACACGCAGTAGCTCAATCATGTTGAGTCGTTGCATAATTTCATCAGAATAGTCACCCTGGGATTCCTACTCTTGTGCAGCTCCCAAACCCTTTATCTACCTTAAGGACTTTGTGTGCATTCATGGATGTCTGTAAGACCACAAGTGAACCACTCCTGACCACCCACCCTGGCAGCGGTGTGTAGTGTTTCTGACTGAGGTGAGGGTGACCACCGGCCAACCCCCACATTTCTTCTTATTCTCTGAAGCTTCGCCTGGGACCCCTTGGACCCTGAGCCCCAAGGAAAATGAGCCCTGTGCCCAGCCATGAAATCAGTTCTCCTGTTCTGGTTTCTAGATAAACTGAGGCTCGGAGGGGTGAGGCCACCTGCAGGAGGCTCCACAGGCAGAAGCAGAAAGCTGAGATTTGATCCCAGGTCTAACAGTCTGGAAGCCACTCGCCTTGTGTGGTAGGGAAACTGATCTTGCCTGTCCGGCTGCACGAGGCCTTGGCGTGGCTGGCAAAGAGGTGGAGAGGAAGCAAGAAAATGCAGTCATGGAGTTGCTGCACCAGGACAGGCCTGGGCTCAGCTCTCAGCTCTCCCACGCAGTGGGACAACCTTCTTCCGGTTCCTCTATGAGAGCTTCTGTTTCCTCGCCTTTACACCGGGATATTACACCTCCATCTGATGTGTGGAGTGAGGGTTGGATAAGGCGGTGAGCGTGTGTGAAGCACTTGTGCAGAGCCTCTCAGGACGTGGTCCCTGCTGTCGCCTGAACACCTTGTGTCACCTGGCACGAGGCGGGGTCTGGGTCCTTCAGCTGAGCAGTTAGGGTCATCTTGCTGCCTCTGCTGGTTGCTGGGGGCTGCAGCAGTTCAGGCCTTTTGCTGGAGGCCCCCCAACCTTGAGGCAGGGCTCTGGCCCTGTCCTCATGCTTCCAGCCAACCAGTCCTTTACGTTTAGTTTTGTGATTTAGTTTGTCTTGGGCTCGTTTAGTTTAGGAGCTTTTTGCAGAGGGTTCTTTGAGATAACTGACTCTCCCACCTTGTGCTCAGAGTGTTTTCCTCAGCTCCATGCCCCCTTTCCTAATGGTCACCCCTCCCTTCAGAGGCCAGGCGCCATCTTGCAGCATTGTCCACTTGACACACAGTCAGTATTCAGTTTATTCTGTAGAGTGAATGGCAGTTTCTCCTATGGTTGTCTTTTGATTTTTCTTGTGTAATGTGTTTATCCCTAACTAGATTATTCTTAAAGGAAAGGGCTTACCTTTCATATCCTCCATGTTGTTCTTTCTGTCTCTCCCTCACACACACACGCACACACACACACACACACACTCAGGGAAGAAGAACCTGGAAGACACTCAGAATTTTGTTTTGCTGAATAGATGGATGTGTGAATGTGTGAATAGGTTTGCTGAGCATTGGGGAACAATAGTCAATCTTTGTGGAGAGAAAGATTAAGAGAAAAACAGCCCACCCCAGTTCCAGGTACTTTGAAGCCTCAGAAGGCATTTTAGGCAGCTAAATGGAAGTCTTATTTTACAAGCCAGGAGAAAATAAGTCTATTGAAATCATTTCTCATTAGAGATCTAGTGGCTTTTCCAATCTATCCGGTCAGGACTAGGTTGGGGTCTATGTCCCCTGGCCCCAGGCCGCCTGCACTGTCCACTCACAGCCTCTTTCCTGCCCGCCCTTCATTGGCCTTTGTCCTTGACCCGTCTAGAGACACCCCCAGTGTGCCTGAGTGAGGCATGCGTGTCAGTGACCAGCTCCATCTTGAACTCTATGGACCCCACGGTGGACCCCTGCCAGGACTTCTTCAGCTACGCCTGTGGAGGCTGGATCAAGGCCAACCCTGTGCCTGACGGCCACTCACGCTGGGGGACCTTCAGCAACCTCTGGGAACACAACCAAGCCATCATCAAGCACCTGCTCGGTAAGCACCAAGAGGGAGACCGGGGGATGGGCCACTGAGAGGGGCTGTGTACCGCACCTGCTGGCCAGGCCAGGTCAGAGCAGAGGGAGGCAGGACACCAAGACCGAAGGCTTGGGAGTAGGTGAAGTGGGTCAGAGTGTCTGCCTGTCACTCACTGTGGGATCCTGCTGGGTAAAGTATTTATTTCTGAGCCTCAGTATTTTCATCTGTGAGATGGGATGAATAAAGCCCAGACTGCAGAGTTTAGAGCACTGGAGAGCACACGTATAAAATATCAGCACAATGTGACGCATGGCAGGTGCTCAAGAGCTGGTGGCTGTGGTCTTTTTTTCTTTCTTTTTCTTTTGTGGCTTCACCATGCAGGTTAGTCCTTGACTAGCACCGACTAAGTTTTGAAAGTAGTGAGTGAAAGGAATCAAGGCTGGACACGCTAGATCAGATTTTAAGGTCATGGTCCAGTGAAAGTTGTAGTGGCAGTTTATCAGAGAATGAATTATTCCATGGGGGTGGGAGTCGTCTGAGGCCTCTTGATAATCAGGCCTGCAGGACGAGCCATTGGGCCAAAGTCCTTTTGACCTAGGTGTTGGCTTTATCCTCAGATTAGAGTCCCACACGTGTCCCATTTGCAGCCATGTTCCTGGTTAATATTTGTTGAGTTCCCATCCACTCGGGGGAGTCTTCCTCCAGAAGGAAATCCCACAACCACAGAGGTCCCAGTCAAAGCCCTTAGCAGCCCGACCTTGTCTATCTCCCCTTCCTGCTGAGCCTTGCTTATCCTGGGATCCCCATGGGGGAGAGGCCAGGTCCTGAAGAACCCACTTCATTCATCCATCAACTACAGATCTCAAGATTCGACAGATACTTCCATTTTTTAAAAATCTTCGAGAGACTCAGTAGTAAGTAGTATAGAAAAAGCTACCTACAAGGGGACACATGTCAAAGGGACAGAAATTTTGGAAGATAGGAAATGATTCAAAATTGAGTTATGTGTGTAAGGCAGCTGTATCTTTTAGAGGAAAGTAGGGACACACAATCAGGTGACCAGGGACCTGGCCTTTCTTTCCTACCCAGCCCATGTCTGGGCTTGTTTTTCCACCAGGACAGTGGAAACCATGCCTCTTCTGAGCTTGCAAATTAAACAGGGAAATCCATTTAAAGGGCTCACCTGGTGTGTGGAGCAGGCTATAGTGGCTGCTGTTTGTACCCGTGTCATTCTTAGTGTTCACTGTGACCTTTGCGTAACACTTCGCAGTTTACAGAGCTCTCCTGTAGCATCATCCTGTTTCATCCTGTAGGGGGAGAGTATTGTTCACTTCATCTGATAGATGAGGAAACTGAGGTCCAGAGAGGTCCTCAAGACAGGCCAGTTGTTGGCAGAGCTGGGACTTGCTTGATTCCTGGCCAGGTGCCCTTTCCCTTCTCCCATGCCACGTTTTCAGGTCTAATAGGTGGGTACAGCTTCCTTTCCATCTTGTTGAAAAGAGCAGCAGGAGCACAGAGCTCTGAGGGCTTGAAGGAAAGAGAGAAGGAGGTTGATGTTATTGAGTGTCTTCTACATGCTGGGTGCTGTGCTGGACTCTTTATCTACTGCAAAGCTCAGCAGTCACCAGTCCCACTTTATTGGTAAAGAAACTGAGCCACACACATGTTAATAATTTTGCCAAGAACACACCATCAGTCCAGGGCGGGAGGAGGCTGTGCTCTGGGCTCAGCACAGAGAGAATGGGGAAGGAGGGGGACCAGCTGTCTGTCTTCCCAGTTAGACCCAGAACCAGGCCCGTGCATTGTGCCCATGGATCATGACCCCACTGGTTCTGCAGCTGGTTCTTATCGGGCGGACCTTGGGTCTGTGCTGAGATTGAGTCCATCCCACCCTGTCCCCCTGTAAGTGTTGCCTTGCACAGGATACATTCAGAGTGCTTCACACAGAGCCTGCCTCCTGCTAAGTGCCAGGCAAAGCCTGGCTGCACTTCTGGGTGGTATTAAGTGAGTTCCCACCAGACTTCCCCTAATGAGCTCTGGGTGACTGCAGAGAGGTTGCTCAGCCTCTCTGGGCCTCCGTTCTTAACCTATAAAGTGGGATCTAACTCAGATCACTTGTAAGGGTGTTGTAAGGTTAACTGAGTGGTCAACGTAAAGAATAATTATTGCTGGTTTTATTTCTCCCAGAAGCACTGATGTAGACTGAGTTCTCAGGGAAGGTGGTACAGAGCATATCCATGACAGGCTGAGTCTCTTTGTATTGTTTTTTTTTTGTTTTGTTTTGTTTTGTTTTTTTCTTTGTATTGTTTTATTTAATTTTCATGATACACTCATGAAGCCTCAGTTTACACCCATTTTACAAATGAAACTCACAAAGACAAAAGAAATGTATTTCTCAGGAAATGGTGGAGCTGAGATCAGACCCAGAGTGATGGGTCCTCAAAACCTGCATTCTTTCTCTCCTGGCTCTTCCTAATTGCTCCACTAAGCAAAGACCTCAAGTGTCATTGCTGAGAAGCCAGCTCGGTGGGGAGAGGGCGCCTCGTCTCAGGGGCTGCTTGGCTAAACTCTCTGGGTCAGGCCTGATGAAATCATTAGTTGTCACACTGACCAGGGGCCTCCCCAGAAGGCACGTCCTGGAGTCCCCTCCCCGCAGGCTCACTGCTGAGCCCTCACCAGCGGGCCTCATCTCGGGCAGCAGCAGGTGAGCAGGTGACAATACAGGACTGCAGCTTGAGCATTCTTAGGCTGAAGGCCAGGCTGGTTTCAGCTTCCCCAAGACAAAGGCTTCAGCCAGCGGGCCTGAGAAGCAGCCAGCTGACTGTACTGGAACAGCAGGGAGCCTAGGCTCCTTCCTTCTAGGTAGAGAGAGGAGGAAGGACATTCAGCTACCAGTGAGGATTGTGTCTGCTGGCCAGGCAGGACAGCTGTTGCCATCCACTTGGCACGTGACCTTGGGCAAGCCACGCATTTCATTGATGAGGGAATTCACCCAGGCTCCCTCAGAGGAAATCCAGACAGATCTGAAGCAGGCAGGCTGAAATAGGGTGGGTGCCATGGTGGCTTATCCTTGCAGCCTGCTGGCTGGTGGCGGGGTGACCTCAGCTGTGTGGAACACGGGTGCATCCCCCCGAGCAGCCTGCGTAGGCTGTCCTTGTAGGCTTTGGGGAGACAAGAGTGTGACCTCATGTCACTGGGGAAGCAGACAGCCAGGTGAATTACCCTTTAGAGTTGCCTTTCCAGCTGCACTTCGCTCAGATTATCCCACATCTAGAGTACCTGCCCAGCCCCCACGCCAGCCCTGCAAGACCTTTCTTGAACCTGCTTTCTCTGTTCTGTCTTCTGTGACCACCAAAGGGCCTCCTGGGCTCAAGTTCCGCCACGCCTGTGTGTGCTCAGTGTTACTTTCCAGTGTCTTATGCTGTAAGGTGAATGCATACCCAAAAGTGAAATGCACGCTTGTCATAACAATTGAAGCAACACGGATTCCATAAGTAAAAGGTAGCTGTCTTCCTTCTCTCTATCCCAGACACCAGTCTCCCTAAGAAATACACACACACACACACACACACACACACACTACGGCAATAGCATGAAATGTGTCCACGCCAGTGATTTGGCAATGACTTAGGACACCATGTGTCATCTCTTGGAGTTTTATTTTGATATGTTTTCCCAATATGTACCATCTGGTTGAGTTTTCTCTTTCTGCCCTCTAGGGACAGGCTCTGCCCTTTAAATGCTTCTGTCTGGTGTCATGTCTGCAGCAGCGGGCATGCCTTTCATGTTGGGAATGACTAGGTGTGGGGAAGGGATGTCCAAGGCTTCTCAGGGCACCTGAACCGTTCCAGGCGTACATCTGGTTTCCAAGCAAATCTGCAGGAAGGACCAGGAAAGCAGAAAGACTTGGCCTCCAGTCCTGGCCTCAGCCACTTACTCATGTGACTTTGAACAAATTACCCAGCCTCTTGCCTACAAATTGGGCAGGATCCTAGTAAGAGCCACTGTGGGAATTGCTGTTGCAAGATGCTGTGCACACACAGACAGCCACAGCCAGAGGTGGCAGCCACTTTCTTAGAGAGGCTTAAGAACGCCTGGGCTTAAATCCCAGCATGCACCTATTAGCTCTGCTTCCAAGACAGGTTCCTTCACTCTCCCTGGGCCTCATTTTCCCTCTCTCTGAAATGGGCTGATAAACGGCATCTTTGCCTCAGGGTCTTCACATGAGACAAGATCAGAGCTTAGGTCTTGGCCTGTAGGAGGCACTAGAAAACAGTGATGGTGGTGTCTATTTTTTCTTCTCCCAACAAACAAGGCACCTGCTGTATCAGCTCCCCTTTTTCCCTTCAGAGGATGGAGTCCCCAAGGCCGGTGGCTGTCTGAATGGAGTCTGTGGTTTTATCTAAAACAAACACAGGTCCTGCAGTGATGTGGAATTGGGGCCAGACAGTCCCGCTATGGCAAGGGAGGCCACAGAATTCCTGGTCGTGCTGTCCCTGCAGCCCACCTCAGCCGCCCGGGTGTGTCTCCTCCCCAGGGAGGAATGTGGGCAAGGGTGTTCCAGTAACAACTCCCAGAGGAAGGAGCAGGCCGATTAAATGAGGTGCTCTCTTCCCACTCTGGGGCTTTGGGAAGTGACTGAGGAAGTTTCTGGAGCTCAGGGGTCCCTAGAGGGAAGAACACAGGCAGTTAGGAGCGCTGTTATCTGCTCCCCCAGCTGCAAGATCATTTCCATAGCACCCTCCACCATGTGCCCCCGACCCAGGCCAGGGTCCTCCTGGGTATCGAATACAAATCTCCCAGTGTCAGAGACTGAAATTCAGGCTGGAACTGTCTTCGCTCCTTCTATTTCCTAGACCCTTCCTGCCTGCCCTGGGCCTCCACAGCTCCTTGTACCGCAGAAGTAAGAAGGGGGATGTCGCTCTCCGCACAGCTTTCCCCCATCCCAAACGCTTCCTGCCACGTCTCCGTCCCCACCGCCTGCCCCCTGGGCCTTCACCCAGCCAGTCTGTGGCAGTAGCCTCCTTCCCTGTGACCTGGCATCTTGCTTTGGCTCTTGCCAAAAGCTGATAAATGGCATCTTTGCCTCAGGGTCTTCACATGAGACAAGATCAGAACAGAGGTCTTGGCCTGATAGGAGGCACTAGGTGGCAGTGCCCCCCAGGTCATAGATGTGACTTCCTCCCCAAGTGAGGAAGGAGAGTGTGCTGTGGGTTGTCCCCATGGCCTCCAGGAATCAGAGGGAGGAAAAGGAGTTCTCCCTGCTGCCAGGGCTCCTGCCCTGGCCAGTGTCATGCGTGGGGTGCGGGCAAGATGCTCCTGGAGGGGCACGAATGCCAGCCCGCAGCCAGGCCCACATCCTGCCTGTCCCTGCCTTGTTTCCTCTCCATGCAAGTTTCAGAGGACACCAGCCTCGTCGCCCTCTGATGCGATGTCCTGCCCCGTTAAACCTGGACAGTGCTGTCTGCTCTCTCAGCCCATGTTGCTGAGAGCCTACTGTGTGCCATCCGGGACTGGTTCTGGGGACACAGAAGTGACTAAAACACACACTGTGGGGGGAGGCAGGCCAGGTCCAGCCCCAACTCCATCTCCACATTGACCTCAAGCCAGGCTGCCCAGGCCAGGTTCCCAGTCCTCCCCGCCATCCTCTCTCCGGGCTTCATTACTTCCTCTTTAGCTAGCTTCGTGTGTAGCTAGGTGATTGCCTCTCTCTCCCTCCCCCTCCCCCTCTCCCTCCCCCTCCCCCTCCCCCTCCCCCCACCGGGCGCAAGCCTTATGCAGACAGGCCTGTGTGCCCCCACGCCCAGCCTGGCCACTGCCAAACACTAACAACTTAATAAACAGCTCTGCAAAAGCCAGCAAATATGACACGAGGCAGTGGGGAGCACTTTGAACTTGGTGGGGGAAGCCTTGCAACAGATAGGGGGCGTGGCGCTGGAAGGAGGGTCTCTCCCCCCAGGTACCAGGAGAAGGGGCTGGGAACCCTTGAGATCCAACTCAGAGCTTGCTGTGGTCACCACAGCCAGGCCCTGCCTCAGAGGCCCTTCTCTGTGCCTCTTATCTAGGTGGCCTTGGGGCCCTGTGGGAGGGAAATACCAGGCCCGCCCCTGAGCCAGCGCACAGAGCAGCTTCCCAGACACTGGCCGTGGCATTTCAGGGTCATGGCCAGAGCCAGATGTGGACAGCGGGACACAGCTTCCAGGGCGTGGCAAGCAGTGATGGTTCATCTCTCCCTTCTAAGAGCTCAGCTGCTGTGTTGCCATAGAAATGAGGCCTCTGGAGTGGAAGCTCCCCCTTACACCCTCAAGATCTGTTTCCTGAGTCTGAGGGGCCAGCTTTCCCCGTTTCCGGTCTCACTCTGCGGAGGACCTGGAGAACACATGGGTGCTTCCAGGGCTCTGCAGCGTGACATTCTGTGGTTATTCAGGCCCGCAGCCTCAGGTCTGCTGCCTCTGTATCTCCCTTCACACCGGCCCCTGTCCTGGGCTGTCTCTTTGACTTCAGAAATACTGGGGCTTGATGCGCTCTGACCAGTGACAGCCATGGTGCTATTTATGCATAAGAACCAGGGGACAGGGACAGGGGCATATAGCTCAGTGGCACAGCGCCTGCCTGGCAAACACGAGGTCATGAGTTTGAGTCCTGTACCAAAAAAAAAAAAAAGAAGAACCAGGGGACAGGGAACTGTCTGGGATGAGGACTGCAAAATCTGAGTAAAGACTGGATAGGAAGTGACTCGTGTCCTTGCCACTAAGTGGCGTCAACAAGGTTCTTTTCTTCAAACAACATGCCCTTTTATGTCCCCTCCCTTGGCCCCATTCTGTCCCACTCCCCCAAGCAATGGCCTCCTTCCTACCTGGTGAACACCTTTCCATCTCTGAGACACAATTCAGAGAACATCCTCTGGGGGCCCCAACCTCTTCCCAGCCCTGCAAGCAAGCAGTGACTACGTTGGAAATTTTTGCATCCTTCAAAGCACTTCTGACCTTTTCTTTGCACATCAGCGTCCACTGCTGGACTCTAGGCTCTTGGGGGCAAGGAGCAAGTTTTATTTTTGTCTGTAAAACTCAGTGCCCAGCTTGGTGCCAGGCACCCAGCAGGAGTCCAGAGTGCTGAGCGTCTTCTGGAACAAACCTCTTAGGAGAGGCTTTAGGTCACTGGAAAGGCCTAGAAGCAAAGCCAGGTTCTAACAAGGTTGGATGCGGGAGCCTTCTGGGGACAGAGAAGTTGTCCTTTGTGTCTCCGGGGCTTGCACCCTGCCTGGCACAGAGTAAGTGTCTGGGATCTGTCCAGTGGATGAATGGGTAAGAAGGGAATCTGAACTGAGGGAAAGTGGCAAAAGCTGTAAGGAGTTCCCCAGGAGGGGCCCAGGGAGTCTGGTGTGGTCTGAGGCAGGCACAGGAGCCCCAGCACAGAGTAGGTGCTTTTAGGACCACAGCCCCAGGAAATAGTTTCCTTCACCCGGTGTAGATGAGAACTTCCCGTGGAAGATCTGTGCACGACGTCAGGATAAGCGGCTGCTAGCCCGGCTGGGGTTGGGAGGAGGAGGGAGTAGAAAACAGCCCTTTGAGTCATCTGTAAGTCTGGCGACCATGCCTGGCCCCTGCGAGGAGGAAATGGAAAGTCCATTCATAAAGAAGCCTTTTAAGCTTCATCCAACTCCAGTCTGTCTCACAAGAAAGTCAGCTGGGCTCTGAAAATCAAGGCAGGCCTCCATCCCACGCACCAGGCAGGACACTTGGTGCCACGCGTTCGCTGGCAGAGAGCTGACAGTACTGCTGGGTGGGCAACGGGCTGCTGTCTACAAGCCCGAATGGCAAGAAGAGGTCCCAGGTCCCAGCTCTGCCCAGGGACACTTGTACTGCCTGGCACTGAGCTTCTCCCTCCACCGCAGCAGCTGCCATGGCTCCTGTTTTATAGCTGGGGACACCAAGCCTCTAGGGAGTAGCCCAGGGGCCTCCAGAATCACAAATTCTGATTTGTGTGTGTGTGTTGCTAGGAATTGAAGCCAGGGCCTTATGCATGCTAAGCTAGCATGCTACCATTCAACTACGCCCCAGCCCTTTTTGTTTTGAGAGCAGGTGTCACTAAGTTGCCCAGGCTAGCCTCGAACTTGTGATCTTTCTGCCTAAGCCTTCAGAGTCACTGGGATTATAGCTGTGCACCACCGTGTCCAGCAAAGTTTTCAGAAACAGTTCTATATGCATATGGCTTTTTCAGTTGTTTTCTCTTTTGCAATGCTAGGGGTGAAACCCAGGGCCTTGTGTGTGCTTGGCAAATGCTGTACCACTGAGCTATATTCTGCTGTCACTTATTATTCTAGAAAATTCCACAGCCAGCGTGAGCGAGGCCGAGAGGAAGGCCCAAGTATACTACCGAGCATGTATGAACGAAACCAGGATCGAGGAGCTCAGGGCCAAGCCCCTGATGGAGCTGATTGAGAAGGTAGGTCCCTGGGGCAGGCTTGGCAGCCCCTCCTGCTCACCTCTTCTGGCTCTGCCCCAGTTCCCGGGCACCACTGGGGCTCAGCCACCTCATGCCTCCAGCAGCCCTGCCCCGCCAGAGCAAGGAGCCCGTCTGTCTGCCATGTGTGTGAGGCTGCCCTGGCGTGAGTGCGTCTGTATAGGTGGGGCTGTGTGTATATGTCATGTGTCGGCATCTGTTGGGACGTCTGTCTCTGTGTGTGTCTCCATGCAGCTGTGTCGGGCCCAGGGACCATGTTCATGGGGATACTTCCTCTCCGATGCTTCTTTCTTTTCCACACACTGAGGGGTGTTTGCATGTGTGGAGAGGTGTGTGTTGCTCCCAAAAGCCCAACAGAGTCTTGGACCAGACGGTGCTCCGAGTCACAGTGAGGAGGCCCCGTCACTCTAGGCCTCTTCTTATACCAGGGCAGCGGGAAGACTCCTTCTCCTGGGCACATCCCTTTCAGTCCTGGGCAGGCTCCGAGGAGGGCTGCCTGCGGCCGGCCAGGCTGCCTGGTGCAACAGAGGTGGCCATGCGTGTGTTCTGCCCGCCCCGTGCTCCCTCAAGGGCCCTGCCTTCTAGCCTGTCCACAGGAAGGTCTTGCAGCAGAATTGGGGGCCACAGGCACTGGGGCTGTCCCAGTCCCTCCTGTCTGGTACAGTCCACGTGCCAGTATATGCCAAGCCAGGAAGGATCGAGGAGGTTACAAAAAAAGTCCCAACTTGGAGAAGGACTAAAGTAGTCCATAGCTAAACCTTTTTCAAAATGTGGAGCCTTCCCCTGGCCCCATAAGCACAATTGGATCTGTGTCTTAATAGTAATTACATTCACATGATTCCATTTTTTAAAAGTAAATCGTGTAAGGGGCAAAGTCTCCTCCATCTCCATCCCAGCCATCCAAGAGAGCAGTGCCACAGATTCGTGGCCTCCACCTGTGAGGCTCTGGCTCAGGTCAGAAACCCCTAGTGAGGCCGGGTGTGGTGGAGCGCTCCTGTAATCCTAGCACTCAGGAGGCTGAGGCAGGAGGATCATTGTGAGTTCAAGGCCAGCCTGGGCTACAAAGTGAGCTCAAGGCCAGCTTGAACTGCATAACAAGACCCTGCCTCAAAAAGACAAAAAAAAAGATAGAGAAATAGCCTGCCAGTGAAAACTGTCCCTGTCATTTGCCCTGGACACTGCACAAGGCCAGGCAGCTGCTCCGGGGTCACAGAGCAGGGTGCCTGCAGAGACAGAATTTGCATACAGGCCTCCAAGCCCCCTCATCCCTTCTCTGCCTGCTGTCCCTGCCCACAGCTCGGAGGCTGGAACATCACAGGTCCCTGGGCCAAGGACAACTTCCAGGACACCCTGCAGGTGGTCACTGCCCACTACCGCACCTCCCCCTTCTTCTCTGTCTATGTCAGCGCCGACTCCAAGAACTCCAACAGCAACGTGATCCAGGTGAGTGGCGTGGAGCCTGAAAGAGCACAGGGCATGACTTCTTTGCAAGTTCAGCGTGCCTGCTGGGGTGGTGGCAGCCCTAGGCTCAGCTTGGGCTCTGATCTTTCTGGCAGCCCCCCCGGTAAGATTTTTGCAGGCAAGAGACTCTGAGGGCATGGGCTGCCGTGCTGTCTGGGGCCTGCTGTAGGCCCCAGGAGTGATGCAAGACGTCAGTTCCCGGCGACAGCAGAAGCCACCTCAGCTCCCCACTTTAGCCTCTGGCCTTTGTGGCTCTGTTTATAACAGTATTGAAGAGAGGTGATGCATACCTGTCATCCTAGCAGTCTAGGAAGCTGAGGCAGGAGAATCTCAAATTCACCCTCAGCCTGGGCGATTTAGCAACTTCTGTGAGACCCTGTCTGAAAATAAAAAGTAAAGAAGGGCTAGGGATATAGCTCAGTACAAAGGTCACAGTACCCCCCACCACACACACACAGTGTTGAATCCATATCTCCCTGGCAGAGCCTACCCCAGCCTGAGGTTCATCACAGAGAGGGGAGCTCCTAAACTACGAGTCATAAAGGCTGAATTCCTAGCTCATCTTTGTCAGTCACCTGCTGTGTGACCTTAGACACATAGCTCAACCTTTCTGAGCTACAATTTCTTAATCAACCAAATGAAATGTAATAGCACTGAGGTATATCAAGATGAGGCCAAAAGGCTCCAACAGTAGCTATCAGAATTGACCCTCTCTTGTCTACCTAGCATTCAGGTGCCCCTTTACCAGCATTGTCTCCTATTTCCTTGAAACCTCAGTTCAGCTCTGAAGGTTAAATATGGTTTCACTTATTTTCAAGATGAGGAATCTGTGGATCAGAAAGGTTAAGTAACTTGATCCCGGTCAGACAGCTTTGGTGGCTCTTAACCACTTGGGTGGTGTTTGGCAAAGTAGGTGTGCTCTGCCAAGGCCAGGAGATGCATAAAGAAGAGGGAGGCTCTGTCCAGCCCTTTAGGAGAGTCCAGCACCCCTGTAGCTGACCCTGTGTACAAGCAGGAGTACACCTGTCCCTTCCCTGAGTGGGCCCATCAGTGACTTTAGCTACCAGCTCATCCTGCTGGGATCCAAGCTGGCCTTCTGGTGCCCTGTGCCAGTGCATCCCGGGCAGGCAGAGGGTGTGTGGTTGGCACCCACAGGGGGACATCCAGGAGACCGCCTCTCACTGCCGCTGTCCTCTCCAGGTGGATCAATCTGGCCTGGGCTTGCCCTCCAGAGACTATTACCTGAACAAAACCGAAAATGAAAAGGTGAGTGTGCTCTGCAGAGTACTGGCTTGGACCCCACCTGCCCTGAGGTGAGTCCCCCCTGGGTGTCCACCCCGAGCACACCTCAGGGATCACAGAGGTATCCCTTTCCTGATGAGGGACAGGTAGTCCCAGGCAGGGGAGGGATGCCCCAAGCTGGCTGGGTCACGTTCAGGCGTTGTGGGCACAAGGGAGAGGGGATAGGTGTCATTTGTCCCCGTTCCTTTTTTTTTTTTTTCCAGTACTGGGAATCGAACTCGCGACCTCACGCTTGCCGGGCAGGCTCTGTGCCGCTGAGCTAAATCCCCAGCCCCCATTTGTCCCCATTCTAAAGAGAGGCCACAGTGACAGCTACCACCAGGGGGTGCTAGACCTTCGTGTACAACACCTCTAATCCTTCCAATAGCGCTGTAGCTACCATTTCTCTGAACTTCATTTGCCCCCTCTGTCATGGGGTATTACATTTACCTAGCCTTTTACAGAGGAGGAAATAAGGCTCACAGATGCTGAGTGGCCTGTTCAAGGTCCCACAGCCAGTAAGTGGTGAGACTGGGATCCACATCCGGATTCACACCCTTCCTTCCGCCTGGCCTGCCTCTCGTGGCACCCTAGGGGGCCTTGGCCGAAGGCTCACTCACCCGTTCACTCTGGCCTCCTGTCTTGAGCAAGTTGCTACTGAGCACCTGGTGCTGACCGGGTGATGGCAAAAAGATCAGCCTGGTCTGTTGAGGTCCAGCAGGGAAGATGGAGAGTGCTTAGCTGGCCACCACTGTATATGCAACCGCCACTGTGACCAGGGAAGGGGCAGCCCAGAAAACGTAACATGGGCCCTGACTCAGGTCTGAGGATGTGAGCTGAGAGCATTGTAGAAAAGGTGCATACCAAGAACAGAAAGAGGGCCGGGGATAAGCACTGAAAGATGGGACCCGGATGGCACTGACCGCCTGACCTGGGGACCTGCAGAAACGCAGAGTTGTTTCAGCTTTATCCTTAAGGAGGTGGGCAACCAGCAAGCAGACGGAGGCCCCAAACCATTGTCAGGGCTGGGGATGTGGCTCGGTGGTAGAGCACTTGCCTGGACTGCACAAGGCCCTGAGTCACGTCCCCAGCATCTTCCCCAAAACATCTTGAAGCCTTGTCTCCAGCAGGTCCCCTGGGTGAAGTGCAACCCTTGGCCCCAAGCCCTGGGCTGAGGTCAGGCCTGTCCCACTGTACCTCGCCTGGTCCAGTGGGTAGCAAGTGGCAATCACTGACCTTCTTGGGTGCTGGATCTCACAGGTACTGACTGGATACCTTAACTACATGGTGCAGCTGGGGAAGCTACTGGGCGGTGGGGATGAGGACGCCATCCGGCCCCAAATGCAGCAGATCCTGGACTTTGAGACCGCCCTGGCCAACATTACCATCCCCCAGGAGAAGCGCCGGGACGAGGAGCTCATCTACCACAAAGTGACGGCTGCCGAGCTGCAGGTAGCTTGTGTCCTGCTGCCACAGGGGCTGGGCCAGCTACTGGGCTTCAGACCAGGCCCTGAGCTGGGGGTTTGTACCCGCTCGTCAGATCTGTGAAACACCCTGTGAAGGAACAGTGTTTGTTATGCCCACGTGACAGACGCCACACTGGGTCTCAGGCCCTGTTACCTGCTAAAGCCCACAGAGTGTTAACTCTAAAGCTAGGCTCTTGCCCTACCCTGGGCTGCTGTCTCTGACAGCATTTGCCTGGAGACTCCATAGTCTTGACAGTAATCGCTCACATGGGGAGCTCCTGGTCACAATAAGAACTCAGCAAACACGAGCTGTGGGCTGGCCTTGCCTCTGCCTTTCCTGAACCAGGAGGCTGAGTGACATGGTCAGGGTCCAGGCACCACCAAAGGGCAGAGGAGCCTCTGGCTTTGTGAAGCTCAGCTCTTAACCGGTCCTTTGAGACATCCCGGAGGTGTGCCTGAGGAAGAACAGCTGTTTCTGTAATGGTGAACAAGCAAGGCTGCCCCCTGGTGGCTGCTCAGGGGGCCCTTGAGGGTCTGGAGGTGACAGCCTGCGGTTCATTCTTCCCCGTGCATCCTGCCACTGTCCCGCCCTGGGGCTCTGGGGGCCATCATCAGGGTGTCCTCTGCTGGCACCCCTGTTTTTGTCATCAGGGAGACTGCTTGGCCAGGGCAGGAGGGATGGCCCTCCTGGGCCGAGGGTCTGCCGACCTGTCTTCTTGCTTCTCTCCCTGCTGCCCCGCCCAGGAAGAGCACCAGGTCCTACCCTTTTCTCCTCCTCCATTTGACAAAGGTTAGAGCCAGAGGCTACCTTGGGCCTTACTCTTGTGCTTCCAGGCTAGTAGGGGACACTAGGAAGTAATCACAGTCTTCCTGCAAGTGCTTTGGGCAAAAGCAGTAGGCCCTGGGGCCAGAAGGGGTGAAATCAAGGGAAGATAATGACAGGTGCTCGTTAGTCAGGCTGATGGTGTCCCAGGAGATGCAGTGCCCAGAGGCCTAGAATGAGGCAAGAGAGCCTGGCTTCCTGCTGGTGGCAGCTGCCCTTCAGGTCCCCAGGGAGCTGGGGTACCTCTGGGGAGCGAGTGGTGCGAGTGGGTTGTTATGGAGATCTGTAGCCGCTATTGGGTACCATCTGGCACTGTTTTTCCGCCCTGAGGCCAGGAGGTCGAGAGAGATGCTATATTTGTGCAGCGTAATTTGGTTTGCTGCAGCTGCGCGAATCTCAGCCCGAGAGATCTCACTGTGGCCTCACAGTGGCCATGATGTGGGCATTCATACCCAGCAGGTTGGAGGTGGCATGGTACCCCAGAGCACGGAGCCCATCATGGCTTCCGCGTTCCATCACCCCGCACCCTCACCCCATTGCTTCTGGGTTCCACCTCCTTGGAAGAAAGGAAAGGCCGTGCCCCTCTCCCCGCTGCGCTGCTGCCAGGGGAGGCCTCAGCAGGGGCAGCAGCCTGCATGGTGCCAACCTGGGTACGGAGTCAGAAGACTGCTCCAGCTCATTGTTCACCGAGCTGCATGACCTCGGGCAAGTCATATACTTCACCCCTTTGAGTCTTGGCCTCCTTCCTGGTAAACTTGGCCTTTGCTCATTTAGACACCCCTGCTTTATGTCAGAACACAGAGACAAGGGCCGGCAATATAGCTCAGTGGCATAAGCGCTTGCTTGGCAAGCCTGAAGTCATGAGTTCAATTCCCAGTACAAAAAAAAAAAAAGAACAGTGAGACATAGCTGCCCTCACAAGGGACACTGGTTCTTCACTGTAAGTCACAGGGTCTTTTGGGAACAACTAGAAAACTCTGGAACATCACCCAAGGAAAACAGGCTTATGTGCATTTAAAAAAATACGTCTAATACATAAAGAAGTCTTGGCGCCTGGAAGCATGGCGTAAGAATCTCTGCCCTCTAAGCATGGTGGTGCACATCTGTAATTCCATCACTCTGGGAGGCTGAGACCGAGAGATCTCAAGTTTGAGCCCAGTCTGGGAAACTTCATGACTTTGTGAGACCTTGTCTCAAATTTAAAAAAAGAAAAACATTTTTAGAACTCAGTGCGTAGGCCTTGGGATCAATCCCTAGTACCATCAAAACAAAAAACAAAAACAAAAACAAAAAAAACCCAACTCTGCCCAGGCCTGGTGGCACGTGCCTGTGACCTCAGCACTCTGAAAGGCTAAGATAGGAAGATAGTAAGTTCAAGCCCAGCCTGGGCAGCTAGTGACTTAGCAAGACCCTGTCTCAAAATTTTAAAAAAAGGGTTGAAGATATAGTTCAGGGCAAAACCCCTCAATCCTCATTACTGAAGGACAAAACAACAAAAACCGGTCTCTGCCTTGCCTGGCCTGCTCACTAGGTAGCAAAAGGTGAATATGAGGCAAAAATAGAGTGTCACTTTGTAAACTGACATGGATGATAGAAGATAACATTATCATAATTACTATTCCTTCACGATCCATGATGTGGACCAGGTTCAAAATTAATTTGGCAGCTGGGCATGGTGACGCACGCCTGTAATCCCAGCACTCGGGAGGCTGAGGCAGGAGGATCGTTGCAAGTTCGAGACCAGCCTAGGTTACAAAGTGAGCTCCAGGCCAGCCTGAACTGCGTAGTGAGACCCTGTCTCAAAAAGACAAAAAAGAAAATTTAATTTGGTCATTGCACCCTGGGATGGAGAACGTCTCACTCTCTGGTAGCTGGAGATTTGTTTTTCTTCCAATTCTCATGAAGACCCAAGGAAAAGCACCCAGGCTACACAGTGCAAGTCTAGGCTTACCTTGCTCCGGTGCGGGTTGGTTCCGGGCCACCCCCAGTGCAGCCGAATTCAGAGTCATGAATCATACATCCTTCCAGTGCTGCCCTGGGATCTGCCCATTCCTTTCTGTAGCACCACACCTGGCCAGAACCTGAGTTTTAGACCCACAGTCTCCGGTTACCCATGACCTGGGGGAAGTCACCTTACCTTACCTGCAGATTCAGCCTCTGTTAAGGTGGCGGGGTGAGCACCTGCCTAAGGGCCTCCAGGTTTCACTACAGGCTGTGGATTGTCTGGTGTTAGAGACTGACCTTGCATTATTGTCTTTCTCATAGATGCTTCTCCCACTTCCTTATTGTTCTTACATTTTGCCCTCTTTCAGGGGATCAGAGAACACAATTTGAAATTGGTCAGGCCCAGGGCCACTCTAGGAAGACATGACTGTAAGGCCTGACATTGATGGATCGTTTATGTACAGAATGTAGAGAACATGGGGAGCAGAGGCTGGGGCAGACCTTCAAAAGTTGCAAGGCTCTGCTGGAGGACGTTTGCTACGTGAAATAAGCCAGTGACCAGACAGATGATGTCACTTACATGAGGTTCCCAGAGTAATTAAATTCAGGAAGATTGAGACAGAAAATAGAATGGTTGTTTGCAGGGGACCTGGGGAGGGGGTGAGAGTAGAGACTGAGTTTTGTTTTGTTTCTGTGTTGCTGGGGATGGACACAGGGCTTTGTACATGCCGGGCAAGTGCTCTGCCACTGAGCTATGTCCCAGCTCCATTTAATTTCATTTGAGACAAGGTCGTTGTCCAGGCTGGAACTTGTGATCCTCCTTCCTCAGCCTCCCAAGTAGCACAGCTTTAGTCATCTGACAACAGCCACCAGGTCTGCTGTGTGTATACTGGCTGAGCTTAGGCTTCTCCCTCTTGCTGCAGGTTACCTTTGACTTTGCTCTTCTAGCTCCCAGGCCTGGGAAGCATCACCTACAGACCGTGCAGTTCATACTTTGTGCTGCTCTGCTCCCTGAATGCACCCGATGCTACAGAACCCCACGTTAAGTAGAACAGGCAGCGCTGGCTGCTGTGACCATCCGGGTAACCCATGCATGGGTTCTGTTTCTACGGGGCTCCCCATTTCTAGATGAGGCGCTGAGGCACAGAGGGGTTTGTTAAACTTACTCAGAGTTGCACAGCGTAAGCAAGGGAGCTGGCATCAGGCAGTCTGGCTCCGGATCCCTAACTGAGCGGCCTGCTGGGGCCTCGTCCTCTTTGTAACATGTGCCTCACACAGGAGGGGCGTGTGTCACACAGGCAGGGCACGGTGAGCGCAGTAGGTTCTGTCTCTTCCCTTACACTATCCTAGTTCCGCATCAAGTTAGAAACGTGGACGTCTGGCTCCTTAGGCCGCTGCCCCCAGCATCCCTGGCATTCAGGCAGCCTCTGCCTACCTCCGCCCTGCCCTCTCTCCTTGTCAGGTGCGGAAGGTACAACGATGCCAGCATCCCCTTGTCCCCTTCCCTTGCAGACCTTGGCACCTGCCATCAACTGGCTGCCCTTTCTCAATACCATCTTCTACCCCGTGGAGATCAACGAGACCGAGCCTATCGTGGTCTACGACAAAGAGTACCTTGAGCAGGTCTCCGCCCTCATCAACAACACCGACAGATGGTAAGGCGGCACGGAGGCCTGGGACGGCCTGAGCAGGTGGCCCTCTCCTCAGGCAGGATGGCCAGGGGCAGTAGGTGAGAGACGGAATCTGGAAAACGGGCTCTGGATGGGCTTTTATGAGGGGCGGAAGGGTATCTCGGTTACAAGCACAAGTTCAAATCCCGGCTACCCTCCCAGCAGCGCTCTAGCCTTAGGCAAGTTCCTCATCCTTTCTCAGGGCCATTTCCTCATCCATAAAACTAGAGTGCAGATAGCACCTACCATTACGGCAGCTGCAGGATTAAGTGAAACACCCCATGGAAAGGGTTTTATCAGGATGTCGGTCTCAGAATAGGACCCATAAACGTTAGCTATTGTTTTTAGTTAGTAATTTGTGAGGTTTTTAAAAATTTTTTTGAGACATGGTCTTGCTAGGTAGATCAGGCTGATCTTGAGCTCGCTATGAAGCCCAGGCTGGCCTTGAACTTGTGGTGATTCTCCTGCCTCAGCCTCCCGAGGGCTTGGATTACAGGCATGTGCCACCATGCTCAGCATGATATATATATATTTTTTAATTTTAAAGACTTATATGGCCAGGCATAGTGGTGCACGCTTATAATCCCAGCCCTTGGGAGGCTGAGGCAGGAGGATTGTTGCAAGTTAGAGACCAGCCTGAGCTACAAAGTGAGCTCAAGGCCCACCTGAACTACATAGGGAGACCCTGTCTCAAAAAAAAAGACATAAAAATGCTGAAAATCACAGAAAGTAGGAAAAATTTTTAAATGACTCGACAGTGCTCTGGGTCACATGGGATGTGTGTGTTTTTGTGTGCACAGCTGTGGAGAAAGAAGGCGGGGTGGTTTCTAATATATGGTTTTTTTCCTCCTACCATTGTGACTAGATGTGGTCACAATCTAGACATGGTCTGCTTTGCCCTTGATTTCACCACAGGCGTGCTCCCTGTGTCATCCCAAACCCTCAATCTTTTTCATGGTTTCATAATATTCCAGAGAGTATAAATACAATCATTTCCTTCCCTCTTGCCCTGTGTCAAATGTTAAGGTTGGTTCCAGCTGGGACTGGGTGTCACTGTAGTGACCACTGTGATGCTGAGGTGACTTCTTTGTAAACTCGGCAGCAGCCACAGCCAAGTTCCCTGTGCCCTGGGCTGGGGCAGTGGGAGCTGCCATTCATGGAAACTGTGGCCCAGCTGACTGGAGCTTCCTTGCCTGCCCCTCTCTGGCCTGCTGGGCTGGCCATATCTTAGCTGTGGCATGACGCCTGCGCCCCACCTGCCCCATAGCACACATCATCTGAATGAGTCCCTGAGTCCCCAAGCAGCAGCTTTGTGGCACCCAGACACGAAGCAGCTCGAGATAGCATTTATTGAGCACCAGTGGTAACCAAGTGACTGTGCTAGACACCAAGGGTCATTGTGTTGTGTTGTATTGTGTTGTGTGCAGTGCTGGGGACAGAACCCAGGGCCTTGAGCTTGCTAAGCAAGTGCTCTGCCTACCAATGAGGGCCTGCCCCCCAGGGCTTTCTGTGGTAGACGACCCGGTCTTCACCCATGAGGGGCTCACATCAGTGTGCTTGCTAAGAGAGCAGCAACCCGCCATGCCTAGGCAGGCTGGAACAGACCCCGGGAGACTGCTAGGGGCTGGCAAAGGAAAGGCTCTGCAGGGCGCCTCTGAGCCAGTGGGTTTCTTGTCCCCTCTCCCCAGTCTGCTGAACAACTACATGATCTGGAACCTGGTGCGGAAAACAAGTTCCTTCCTTGACCAGCGCTTTCAGGATGCTGATGAGAAGTTCATGGAAGTCATGTATGGGACCAAGAAGGTGAGCCTGGTACTCCTGTAGATGTGCTAAGCACCTACTGTGTGCCAGACCCTGGGCCAAGGACTTGGTACATGTATATAACACATTTTAATTCCTTTTACTCCTCCCTGCCTTCTTCTCCGTTCCCTCCATCTCTTGGTCTCCTATCTGCAAAAGATCTATCTCCCTGTTTCCTATTATCTTGTATTTCACTCTTGTAATTACTATACTTTGGATTTCTCATATAAGAGAAACCAAACAACATTGAAGCCTGTGTGTCTGAATTATGCTGCAACCTGCACCTGCCAGCAGGTCCCAAGAGGGGGGCAATGGGAGATTAAAAAGAAACAAGACGCATGAAGAAAAGCTGGGACTGGGCGGGACCTGACTTCTCTGATGGAGAAGCAGCGACAACCCAGCATGGCTCACCTCTTTAATTATACGGTGTAAAAAGGGGGTAAGGGGTGAGCATGTGACCGAAAGTGCAAGGTCTCAATGTTTTGCTGAGAACCCTGAAAGTGAAACGTTCTCAGAGCTGTCTGTGCTGCAGTTAACAGGGAGGAACACCAAGGCCAGACACTTGCTGGACTGGCCTTGCTCTAGTCCCCACAACTTGTTCACCTGGCTCACCTCTGGCTCAGTCGCAGCTCTGCCCCTCCCCACACTTAACATTGTTGTCTCAAGGGGACTTTATATAGGCAGGGTCTGACCAAGTTGCAGGATGGCAGTCACAGAGGCCGTTCTGTGTGCGGAGAACTCCCCTTCGAATCTCCTACCCTGCTGGATTACAGATGAGGAAACAGGCTCAGGGAGGGAGAGGGACTGGTTCAAAGTGGCTCATAGTGAAGAGCAGGCTCTCTCGCACCTGGGACTTCTGATTCTGTGGCCCCTCCCCTCTGAGCTCTCTGTACCTTTCAGCCTCAGCTGCACGGGAGGGAACGCAAAAGCTGACTTTCCTGTGACTGCTGGGGACCAAGGCAGGAGGGGGAAAGGAATTACTGTTCGATGAGGACAGCTTCAGATTTGCAAAATGAAAAAGTCTAGGAATTAGTTGCACAACAATGTGGACATGCTCTTTTTTCTCAGACAGGGTCTCTCTGTGTAGCCCAGGCTGGCCTCAAATTTGTGGCAATCTCCTACCATAGCCTCCTGAGTGCTGGGATTACAGGCGGGCACCACCATGCCCACCCCGTGAACATACTTAACACGGCTGAATTGTGCACTTCAAAATGGTTAAGATGGGGTGTGGGACTGCGGTTCAGGGGTAGAGCACTTGCCTACCATGTGAGGCCCTGGGTTGAATCCCCAGCACCACAAAAGAAAAAAGAAGTGGTTAAGATGAAAACTTTTATGTTACGTGGATTTTAACACAATTTTTAAAAACGAACTTTCTAATAGAATGAACTTCCTAGGGCCTGGTTCAAAGTGTAGGCTGCCACTGTAACTTGACTTGCAGAGTGGGGGGGACACTGGACAGCGGCAAGGGCAGTGGGGGTTGTGACCCCCAGGCTGCGGTGGGAAGGGTGCTGCTTGCTGGCTTCTCAATCCAAGACTCTCCCCACTCCTTCACGGGGCTGCTTCTGAGTGCGTGCCCTTAGGGGCTCTTCATACCTCTCTGAGCCTTAGTTTTCTCATCTGCAGTTTGGGATAGTTCCTGACCTCATCTCATAGGACCCTTGCAACTGGCCTCTGCTCAGGAAAACGGCCATCCTGTGTCCAGTAGCAGAGACTACAGTGTTCCTTTTGGTGGGGACAGAGCTTGGCTTAGGGAAACAGCACAGAATTTGGGGTCAGAGATTCTACACACACACATACACGTGCACGCACGCACACACACACACTACTCCTTTCAGAGATGTTTCTCACAGCCACTTATTCCCTGAGTGACCCCTTTGGGCAAGTGATTTAACCTGTCTGTGTCCTAGTTTCTTTATCTGCAAAAAAAAAAAACAGAGGATCCCCACTTGCATGACCCTTAGGAGCATCTGACAGATGGGGCCAGCACATGGCAACACTCAAATCTTCACCGTGACTGCTGTTGACACGGTTATGGCTGGTGGCACGTCTGCCTCTCCCGCTGGGTGCTTGGGCATTCCGATGGAATTCTCAAGGACAGTCCTGCTGTTCCTTCAGCTTTAGTTTCCCAAGAGCCAGCCCTGTCACAGCACAGTGGAACTGCCCAGAGCACGCGTACATGGGGGGGTGAGCGGGTCTAGACACAGACACCCCAAAGACAGATAAGAACTATGGTTCAGTCTTCATGGCCTGGATCCCCCATGGAGCCTCACATTTAGAGTCCTCAGCCATGACCTCTTGTGTGGTCAGATCCTGTGCAGATGTGTCCAGCTGTGGGCTTCTCGGCTGTGGAAAGGCAGGCGGGAGCAGGAGGGGGAGCCTGCCTAGGGACACATGGCTGGGAAAGCTGGAAAGAACTTGGGGAACTACATCTGGAGACTACACTGCCCATCTTCCATTTTTCTTTTCTAGAAGATTTTCCAGTAAGACATAATTTACTTACCATAAAATATAGAGCACTGAACTGTATAAGCATACAGTGAGTTTTAACAAATGAAGTTACCCATGTAATCATCACCCAACCAAGATAGAGAACATGACCTACTTACCTAACATCCTGTAAGCAGAAAATGCTCCCCTTTTACCCCTGTGTCCCCTTCCTACCAGTCCTTTCTCCCCTGGGATGTGACAGAGGTGGGTGGAGACAGAATCATCCACTGTGTGCCTGGCTGCTTGTGCTCAGCAGAAGTATGTGGAATTCACTCATGCTGTTGTATCTGCGAGTCGTTCATTCCTTTCTGTTGCTAAGCAGAATGTTGCTGTATAAAAATACCACATTGCATTTATCCATCTGTCTGCCGATGGGCATTTGGGTTGTCTGCTGCACTTTGGAGCGGGTACAGTCTAGCTGCCTTGAGCGTGTGAGGTTATTACCCTGTTCTGTGGGGCTGGAAGGACATCAGCTGTCCCTGCAGCAGGAAGGACTTCCGGGAGCAGGGCCACACTGTCCCCGGAGGGACGCCCAGGCAGTGAGCTGGAACTTTTCTAGGCACTTGTCACGATGTGTGCTCCAGAGAACTGCACCCTCAGGTCCATTTCCGCTCACACCCAGGTGCCCAGTGGACTCATGGGGGCTGGTGGGGGAGACCAAGGATGAACCAACACATGGGAACCTATCTGGGAAAGTCTTCTGCCGCTTGGGTAACTTCCTAGTGTCCTCCGGACGGCAGGCCAAGGTAGGAATAGGAAGGGAGGCTTAGTTACTTTCTCACTGCTGAGATACAGTACCCAGAAGTCTAAGGTAGAAAGGGTTAGTTTCACTCACGGTTTGTAGAGATTTCAGTCCAGCATCAGCTGGTTCTGAGGCAGAGCAACAAGGCAGAGGAAAGAGCTCGTGGCATGCTGGCAAGAGGCAGGGCGAGGGAGGAGGAGGGCCACATACACACACACAGACACACAGACACACACACACCATGACCCAAATCCTCCAACCAGGCCTCACTTCCCAGCATCACCTTAGCTATAAACTCATCAATGGACTTAATCCACTAATGAGCATCACACACTGTGGTCCAATCACGCCTCCCAGAACCCCACCTATGAGCGCACGAGGCTTTGGGGGACATGTAGTTGGGGAGTCAGGCATGTCTGAGGTCCCTCCCTCCACCCTGCACAGCACTCCTCCCCTGCTGTGGGATCCTGGGCCAGCGACGCCCCTTGCTAAGTTTCCAGTTCCTCACCCATCCAGTGGCCCATAGTCCCCGCCTGTGGGGGCATTTGATGGCTTTGTGCTGGTGGGACGCCGGGTGAAGAGGCCAGCACTGAGAAACAGGAGGGGTGGCCCAGAATAACTCCTGGGTCAGGAAAGCTCTGTCTCCCTGAAGTTCTGGAAAGTGCCACCTCCAAGACGGGGATTGGGAAAGGAATGCGGAGTCAGCGAGCCTTTCCTTTGTGTTTTCCAGACCTGCCTTCCCCGCTGGAAGTTTTGTGTGAGTGACACGGAGAACAACTTGGGCTTCGCCCTGGGCCCCATGTTCGTCAAAGCGACCTTTGCCGAGGACAGCAAGAACATAGTAAGTGCTCCTTCGCGGACGCAGGCCGTGACATCATCCTGCAGGGCCCCTGTGGGCCCAACAGTTCTCACTGTGGTCTGCTCCAGGCCAAGGCCCCAGGGTTAGCCTTAACTCTGAGGTCTGTTTCTCAAGATATGCAGAATGTGGGGTGCTCATACTAGCTACTGTCGTTGAGTACCAGGCCCACTGTCCTAATTTGACCTTTCCAGTGACCCTGCAGGGTCAGTACAGCCATCTCCATTTCCAGGCCCAAGAAAGCCCCAGTGAGATAATTTTGGCAGAGCAGCTCTGGCTCAGAGGTGATCTTTTTCCTACTCTGTGGATATAGCTGGATTGCTCTAGACAGGATTATCCCACTAAGTACCACCGACACAGACTGAGCTCAGGTTCTGGCCCTACCACTGCCCTGCCAGTGACCTGGACATTGTTCTCTCCTATCACAGGTGACATGGAGATGGGGCTGTCCCTCTTTCCAGGAAGTTAAGAGTCTACATATAATGGGCCCTTGGCACAAAATAAGGTTCTATTTATTAAGCGACAGCTGTTGGGTCACTGTTACAGTTTTTATTGCTGAGAGTGTTCATTGCACAGATGTTAACTGTAGTCAGAGGTTAGCAAACCGTGACTCAGTTCTGTTCAGCACTTGCCTGTGAGCAGCTGAGGAAGAATCTGGGTGAACATCCATCAGCCGGAGCCCCTTTGGTCTTGCGGCTGTGCGGCTGTGCCCTGACCTCTGAAATCGTCCACCTTCTCTCTGTCTTGGCCACAGGATTGTCACCCTCTGGAGCTGCCATGTGTCTCCAGTGTGAGCTTAGAATTTGTAAAACAGCTTTTCAGAATTGAGCTCTTAGATATTAAAAACTCATTCCATCAAAAAGGAATTCTGTGGTCCAGTCAGTCTGGGAGAAACTACGTTTTCTAGGCAGGATCTCAGTGCATGAAAGTCTCTGAAAATTCCCATAACAGAGACTTCTGCTGCTTCCCCAAGCTTGTCCCTGCTTATCTGACTACTGTTTGTGGAGCCCAGTCTAGTCCGGCAGGAGGTCACTGTGAAGACGTGGGTCAGGAACAGGACCGTGGCTGCCTGCATAGCCAGAGGCTTTGAGCCAAACCTGTTTAGTCTGTGGCCCAGCGTCATCCATCGGCAGGGGGCCTCACTGGTCTAGCTGAGCCCAGCACCCAGCCCTTCCTGTCTCCTCAGGCCAGCGAGATAATCCTGGAGATCAAGAAGGCGTTTGAGGAGAGCCTGAGCACCCTGAAGTGGATGGATGAAGACACCCGGAAATCGGCCAAGGAGAAGGTGAGGCTGTGCCGCAGGTGGAGGAGGGAGACACTAGTTCCATCCGGGAGCACGCAGGGATGCTGTCCTGCCTCGTGAACTAGGCCTAGCTGGATGGGGACAGCCTGAGGTCCCTGACTTGGTGGTGACTGTGTGGACATCCCATGGCAGGAGGCCAGGAACCCACTCCTGTGATAACTACCCCACTCCCACCTGAACCCTGCCTGAGGGCAGAGCCTCAGGACCCAGTGCCAGCTTACAAGCCCCAGCTCTGCACACGGCACTGGGGATGAAGCGTCCAACACATGTGCTGGGGACACATTCAGATCATAGCAGCTTCTCTTGGGGAAGTGACCTGGTAGACAGGCAGAGGGTGGGCCAAAGGGGAATCATTGCTGGGTGCTCACTTCCTCTCGTGCCCCTCCCGTCCAGGCAGATGCCATCTACAACATGATAGGCTACCCCAACTTCATCATGGACCCCAAGGAGCTGGACAAGGTGTTCAATGATGTGAGTGGCTTCCGCCTGCCCCTTTGCATCCCAGGTGCCCACTTGGGAAAGGGCCGCATGGGGCTGGGTCCAGGTTGGTGGCTGGAGGCAGCATGGCTGTGGACTTCTCAAGGTGATGGGGGGGAAGGCCTGACAGTGGGTTGGGCATGAGGAAGCCATTGCTTGGTCCTTCGTCTCCGGGATCAGCTGGAAGCCCTGCCTCCCTGGAACTACCATCTGGCAACAGGCAGTGCCCATGCAGAGCATGTGCTGCGTGTCCACTAGAAATGATCACTCCACAGAATGAGTGGAAGAGAAGGGAAGGTGGGCGAGGGTTGTAGCACAGTGGTATGGAGTATGCTTAGCATGCACAAGGCCCTGGGTTCAATGCCCAGCACAACAAGAAGGAAAAGGAGGGGGAGTGGTTGGCAGGGGAGGGGAAAGGAGAGGAGAAGAACAGAGAGGAGGGGAGAGGAGGGGAGAGGAGAGAAGAGATACAGATCCTCAAGCTGCAGGAAGAAGTGATGACCCTAAAACATCACAGTGCAGTAAAAGCTGCCTGCACCCATCCCCAAGTTGCCTCCTGTCTCTGGGGTCCTTCACCACCCTCTCAAACACTGAACCTCTGATTCTGACTTTAAACACTAGCAGGAAAGAGGAAGAATAAGCCTCAAGCACATTTTTAAACTTAATTTCGAGAACAAGGGTAATTGCTGCATCCCTGCTGGTTAGAACTTCCGGCAAGTCACCCGTCCTTTAAATGGATTGTGCTTTTGTCCCAGATGAGAAAGTTCTGTCTCTTCTCATGATTGCAGTGTGTGGATTCAGGCATTGCTGAAATTATAATAACCTCGTGTCGTGGTTATATTTAAAGCCTAAGAACATCCAAAATTGCTTCTGGGAACACGAGACTCATTCTTACAGCCTTATTCCATGAGATTAATTTAAGATGCTGCGGGGTCAGGATGCAAGATGGGGGCTCCTGGAGGTAGCCCGGGCAGTACCCACGGGATCAGGGTCTCCATGAGGGCCCGGTGTGTAGCAGAGGCAGAAAGATGTGCAGGGGATTTAAGTCAGAGCCTGGAGCCTGGCAGCAGGGGAAGATGTGTGGTGCTGCTTGAGAAAGGTTCCGGCTCAATGCAGTGCAGTGCATCTGTGCTGTCCAGGGTGGTAGCTGGTGGCTGCAGAGGGCTATTTAATTAATTAAAAGTTAAATTAAAATTTAAAGGCCACACTAGCACATTCAAAAGGCCCAATAACCACCTGTCACTAGAGTCTACCCTGTTAGCCAGCGTGGTATAGAGCCTGTCAGACAGCACTGAGATAGTTGTTTCTTGCCTAAGGCCCAGGTGCTGCTGCAGGGGCGTCCCTGTCACACTGTGGGCACCCCGAGTGAAGAAGTGTCCTTGTTGTGTCCTTGAAGGGGAGGGCTAGTGGCAGCCCCAGCAGACTGAAGGCTGAGGGGGGAGCCCCAGCCAGCAGCCCTGAGCCCTGGGCCTGCAGAGCATCCCTAGCCTTGTGGCACCTCAGTTTCCTTGGCTCTAGGAAGTTGCACCCCGCCTGGGTGCGCTGTGACCTGTGCCTCTGTTTCCCTTTTCCCAGTACACCGCAGTTCCAGACCTCTATTTTGAGAACGCCATGCGATTTTTCAACTTCTCATGGAGGGTCACCGCCGACCAGCTCAGGAAAGCGCCCAACAGAGATCAGTGAGTCCCTGGGCCCTGCCGGGAAGGCGCTGGCTCCTCCCAACACACGGGGACACACGGTCCCGAGAGCCCTCTGAGGAGTGGAGACTGTCATTATCCCACTTTTCTGATGAAACCAGTGCCAACTTGGGTCCCAGCCAGGGGCTGCTACAGGCCCCAGGTTGTGCACCCGGCCTGTTGGCAGAGTGAGCCAGGCCTCTGCTGCTGAGTGTACGTGACACCGTGTGCCGTTCGATGGCCTCGGCGTTCACAGCCTTCCTTTCATTTGTCTGTAGAGTAGGCTGGAAGGAGCCCTTCTAAGGCTATGGTGACAATCAGATGTGAGAACTTCTTGGGAGGGCCAGGCCCTCCTCCACGGCTAGGGTCCCATAACTTCTCAGGAACAGGAGTGCTGGCTCCTTGGGGACAGGTTTCCCACGGAAGCCTGGGGAAGGTTCTGGATGAGCCCTGAACCTCACTGGGCTCAGCACTCCCTGCAGAACATTTTCAAAAACCATAACCATCTGGGCCAGGGGTCGAGCTCAGTGGGGTAGAGAGTGTTTGTTTGACCTTCATAAATCAGAATAACCTGGAGTAATACCTGGGTTTTTCAAAAAAAAAAATCCAAACAGTCCCCTCAGAAAAGTCAGAGATAGGTCCCGGGATAGAGCTCAGCAGCACAAGCGCCTGCCTGGCAAGCACAATGTCCTGAGCTCAATTCCCAGTACCCCCACCCCGCAAAAAAGAAAAGTCAGAGATAGTCAGCCCAGGACTAGGCCTCATTTTGCAAATCGTACAAAAAGGTGAAGCAACTTCTCTTTGCCTCTGGCTCCCCCTCGTGGGGAACAAAGATTCAAACATCCCCCCCCCCCACCACCACCACCCAAGTTTTTTTCCTCCATCTGGTCAACCTGGGTCTCCTCCCCCAAATGTACAAGGCGGTGCCTTTCACCTTCAGAGTAGGGTTTTGGTGCGCCAGACAGTTTATGTGGGTTTTTAAATTTTAACTTAAATTTTTTCACTTAAATTCTGCCTCCTGGTGGGCGCAGTGGTACACACCTGTAACCCCGGCTGCTCTGGAGTCTGAGGAAGGAGGGTTGCTTGAGCCTGTGAGTTTGAGATCAGCTTCAGCTACATAGCTAGATCTTACCTCACAAAAAGTTTATCTTTCCTTTACCCATTATGTACCCATGGTTATTTAAATGTAAATAGAATTTTCAAGTTTCTCAGTAGTTTTTGTTTTGTTTTGTTTTTTGAGATGAGGTCTCACTGAGTTACCCAGCTGGCCTTGAACTCTTGGGCTTAAATAGTCCTTTTGCCTCAGTCTCCCAAGTAGCTGGGACTACAGGTGTGTATCACCACACAGCACATTTCTCAAGATTTTTACATTCCTTGACCTGTCTCTGTGGGGATTATCAGGACGAGACAGAGTGATTGTCTCTGCTCTTCGAGAAAACATCATATGTCTTGCTTCCATTCCTCTCTGCACCAGGAAAATAACTGAAATGCCAAATATTTCATTACATTGTGCTGTTAGTTTCAAACTTTTTAGTGTACGCTTCTATATCCTTAAAAAAATTGAAGCCAGGTGGTAGTATATACTTGTAATCCCAGCACTCAGGAGGCTGAGACAGGAGGATCACCTGGCCACGGTTCGAGGCCCCCTGGGCTACATAGTGAGTTCAAGGCTATCCTGAACTACATAGCAAGACCCTGTCTCAAAAAAAAACAAAATTGAGCCAGTTATGGTACCTCATATCTATAATCCCAGCACTTTCGAGGCTGAGGCAGGAGGATCACCATGAGTTCAATACCAGCCTGGTCTACACATTGTGTTCAAGGCCAGCCTGAACTTTATAGCAAGCACCTGTCTCAAAACAAATGAAAAAGAATCCCATAAAGCTTTTTTGTTTATGTGGATTATATCAATTTTTATGAAAAATACTTTCTAAAGAAAATTTAATGAAGAGAGACATTGTTTTACTTTTTTTGCTTTTTTTGTTTTTGGTTTTTCTCCGGTACCGGGAACCGAACTCACGACCTTGCGCTTGCCAGGCAGGCACTTTTGCCGCTGAGCTAAATCCCCAGCCCCTGAGACATTGTTTTACTTTTTGCAAACTTTTTTTATGCATCTGCTGAGGGTTGAACCCAATGTCTTGTATGTGTTAGGCAAACAATCTACCACTTAGATACACCCCAGCCCTGGAAAAGTCTTTTTTTTGAATGTACTGGAGCCAGGCACAGTGGCATATGCCTATGATCCCAACACTTGGGAGGCAGAGGCAGGTGAATCACCACGAGTTCCTGGCCAACCTGGAACTACATAGTGAGTTCAAGGTCAGCCTGAAATACATAGTGAGACCCTGTCTCAAAAAAACAAAAACAAACAAAAAAAGGTACTAGGGATCAAACCCATGGGTGCTGTGTCACATTCCTGCTACATACCCCAGCCTTTTAATTTTTAAATTTTAAGACAGTATCTCACTAAGATGTCCAGGCTAGGCTCAAGCTTGCAATCTGCCTGCCTCAGCCTCCTGAGTAGCTAGGATCACAGTTGTGCACCACAACAACCAGCTGAGAAAAGCCTTTAAGTACAAGGAAGCAGCTAGGTTTGTGGTAACTAATCCAGGTTTTTCAAATATTTAATTTCAGCTGAAGGCGGTGGCGCACACCTATAATCCCAGCCCTTGGGAGGCTGAGGCAGGAGAATCACCTTGAGTTTGAGGCCAGCTTGGGCTACACAGTGAGATGCTGTCTCAAAGAAAATTTTTTTTATTCAAAAAAATTAACTTTCATTTGAAGCTTCAGGTTTTTTTGAAATCTTAAAATTTTTTTTGGTCCTTTTTTTTTTGTCTTTTTGAGACAGGGTCTCGCTATGCAGTTCAGGCTGGCCTTGAGCTCACTTTGTAGTCCAGGCTGGCCTCAAACTCACAAGGATCCTCCTGCCTCAGCCTCCCAAGTGATAGGATTACAGGTGTGCACCATCACACCCGGCTTGAAATCTTAAATTTTTATCATTGGCAACAAATGATATATCTGGCCTTTTCGTAGAGATAATAAGCTCACTTTATACATTTTCAAGAAAATGTCGGTCCAATATCTAAGTCCAAAATTCCACAGTTTGTCAGTCACCCTAAAAGTACAAATGGAGGCCGGGGATGCACCTTCCTGGTAAGCACAAAGTCCTGAGTTCGATTCCCAGTACCGAAATAAAATAAAATAAATAAATAAATAAATAAGAGTACAAATGGTGTCCTATACAGAGACATGCCATATGGGTGTTTCCACTTGGCCACATGAAATATTAAAAAGACTTTACTCAGAGGTCCAGATTTAGTGGGATTAAAAATCGTGCTACTTTCAGAGTGTTCTGAGGGAAAACAGTGTGGTGTTCTTGTTTTGTTTTGTTTGTAGTACCAGCGACTGAACCCAGGGACTTTGCACTGCACTACGTCCCCAGCCCTTTTCAAAATTTTTTATCTGAGACACGCTCTCAGTCACTAAATTGCTCAGACTGCACTTAAACTTGCAGTCCTCCTGCCTCAGCCTCCCTCTGTGCTGGGGTTAGAGGTGGTTTTCACTGGAGGACCTGCTGGGGAACGATTTGGGGACTCTTGGACCTACTTGGACTCCTGCTTAGCCTCCAACAGCTTTGTCCCCCACTGCTTTTGCACCATCTTGCAGATGTCAGCGTCTTAATATTCTTGTAAACATGGCTTGGTGTCGTGGACCCACTGGAGGGGTCTTGGGGACCACACGCCACACTTGGAGAATGGCTGTTAGACTCAGGTTGAGCCTCAGCAGGGAGGCCTGTTCCATGTGTGATGGACCGTCTTGCTTGCTATGGGCCATCCTGAGCCTCGATATTGTACTGTGTGATTTAACCAGTTCCTTATTTATACACAGTCTGCTCTGGATATCCTTGTACTTAGGTGCCCCTGGGCTAGAGAGAACCCATGTTTTTTTAAGGCTCAAGATATGAGTGTCCCCACAGCCTCTCCCTGCGCCAGCCCTGACATCTGCGCCTGCCTGTTGCTGCAGGTGGAGCATGACGCCCCCCATGGTGAATGCTTACTACTCGCCCACCAAGAACGAGATTGTGTTTCCAGCCGGGATCCTGCAGGCGCCATTCTACACTCGCTCCTCGCCCAAGTAGGTGTCTCTGGTGCTGTGGCTCGAGCTCCTTCCTCGACCTTGGTGGCCCCAGCCTGGCCCTGTACCCCTGGCCGGCCACTCAGCCAGCCAGTCTCACTGCACCATCTGTGCCTGGTGGCCCAGATGGCCTGGCATTGAGAGGGGTGTGGAGGAAACAGCTCCCACCCCGTCCACTCCCCCCAGAGTCACCTGGCTCAGAGCCAGGTGGGGACAGGTGCCCCAGGTGGGGGAGACATTGCTCCCAGCAGTGTTTGAATGCAGTCAGCGCTGGAGACATGGGAGGGACAAGGGCACCATCCCAGAAGTGAGATCTGCACGGTCCTGGGTTCGAGCCCCAGCTCAGCTGTTGGATGACTGCGTGGCACTAGGGCAAAGTAATGGCTGTTCCCAGCCTCATTTGCTCCGCTGTTACCTCGCCCGGCTCTGCTGAGATAGCTGAAGGGAGGCCCTGGCCACGGCTCCCAGCTTGCATCAGCTGCAGGGCCACATCCCCACAGAGCCCTGCAGGACTCTGCCGTGGCCCGGGCCAGGAAGCAAAGGTCAGATGCAGAGCAAAAACCAAAGGCCCTCCTGAGGCATCACCCTCACTCTGTGCCTCACCACCCCCAGGGCCTTGAACTTTGGTGGCATCGGTGTTGTCGTGGGCCACGAGCTGACGCATGCTTTTGATGACCAAGGTACGGGTACCGCGTGGTCCCCTTCAGACACAGCCCGTCGGCTTCCTCATCCCCTGCTGAGGCTGCGCCTGCCCCGGGATCCTGGGGTGTGGGCTCCACGGACCCCGTGCTGGGCCTCACTCCTCCATCCTCCCGCGCCGGATGGGCTGGGCTGAGGTGGCTGATGCGGAACAGGGGTCCCAGTGTGCCTCTCCCTGCTCCACGCAGGACGGGAGTATGACAAGGATGGCAACCTCCGGCCCTGGTGGAAGAACTCCTCGGTGGAGGCCTTCAAGCAACAGACGGAGTGCATGGTGGAGCAGTACAGCAACTACAGCGTGAACGGGGAGCCCGTGAACGGCCGCCACACGCTCGGGGAGAACATCGCCGACAACGGGGGCCTCAAGGCGGCCTATCGGGTACGTGCATCCCCTGCGCTGCCCGGCCAGGTCCCCACATGGAGGCCCAGTATAGATACCCCAGGCAAGCCGCAGCAGCTCTGCATGCCTCAGTTTCCACATCTGAGCAGTGAGGGTGCTGAGGTTCTATGCAGAGCTCAGCTGCACAGAGCCTGCCTGACTGAGGCGGGGAAGGGCTGGCCTGGGCTGCCTGCAGGTTCTTGCAGCCTTCTCTAAAGGGAAGCCACCACCATGTCAGGCAGCAGGCACCTGGGAGGCAGCAGGACACCAGATATGAAACCAGTTCTGGGTTCAAGTCCTCCTGAATACCTGTTTGCTAGCTGTGCATCCCTGACACCTGTGCCATTGGGTCACTGGGATGGTCAGACGAGATGACATGGACATAGGCCTGACTCACAGAGGCTCTCAGAGATGCCAGCTGAGGGGCTGGGGATTTAGCTCAGCCACACAGCTCCTGCCTGGCAAGCACAAGGTCGTGAGTTTGATTCCCGGTACCGGAAAAAAAAAAACAAAAAAACAGAAAAACAAACAAACAAACAAACAAAGATGCCAGCTGAGGTGGAGGGGGAGGAGACTACCTATCAGAGCAGCACCAAGTTTCCCCTGTGACAGTAAGAGCAGAATACCTGTTGGGCATGGCAGTGCACACTTGTAATCCCAGCACTCAAGAGGCTGAGGCAGGATGATTACCTCAAGCTAGAGGGTATGTAGTGAGTTCAGGGCCAGCCTCAACTACATCGAGAGATCCTGTCTCAAAAACAGAAAAAGACACACCTGTAATTCCAATAGTTGGGAGGCTGAGGCAGGAGGATCACTGCAAGTTCAAAGCCAGCTGGGGCTACAAAGTGAACTGAAGGCCAGCCTGAACTGCATAGCAAGACCCTGCCTCAGGAACACACACACAAAAAAGTAGCAGGGCATGATGGCACATGCCCATAATCCCATCCCTCAGGAGGCTGAGGCAGGAGAATTGACCCAAGTTTGAAACCAGCGTGAACTACAGAGCAAGACCCTGTCTCAAACAATAGAAAACAGCACGAAGTGATGAGTAGCGGGAGGGGGAGAGGAGAGCTGGCCTCCTGAGGGAACGATGTTTGATAAAAGGCAGGAGAAACTGGAGAAATAGCCTCAGCAGAAGGAAGAGCAGGTGCAGAGTCCATGAGGGGGATGGGAGTCTGGCTCATTCTCAGACAGGAGGAAGGGGAAGGGTGGAGAGGAAGGGGTGTGAGGCCAAGAGAGGGCCGAGACTGGGGCCTTCCCGCTCTGTGGCCCAGGACAGGGCTTGGATTCCCTTGTTTACAGTGGCATGTCCCTGCAGGGCCCCCAAGGAGAAGAATGACATGATCTAACTTATCCTTGAAAACAGATCCGCAAACCTGCGGGCCAAATCCAGCCGTCAGCCTGTTTTCATGAAGTCTTGGGGGATACAGCTACCCTCCTTTGTTCACATGCTCTGTGTGGCTCCTTCTGCACTAGAAGCAGAGTTGCAACCAAGTGTGGAGGCACAAGCCTTTAATCCCCACACGGTGGGAGGCTGAGGCAGGAGGACTGCAAGTTTGAACCAGCCTAGGAAGTTTAGCCACGTAACAAGATCCTATCTCAAACTAAAAAATAAAAAGGGCTGGGAATATAGGTCAGTGTGAAGGCCCTGGGTTCAGTCCCGGTACTGCAAACCAAGCAGAGCTGAATGGTTGCCACAGGGACTGTTAGCCCAGAGCTGGAAGCATCACTCCGGCTCTCACGGAAGTACACCAAGCCGCTCTAAGAGGCCCACTTAGGCTGTTGTGTGGGACGGGGTCAGAATCAGGTCCTTGTGAGTCCAGGGGACCAGGCAAGACTGCAGTAAGGGAAGTGGTAGGAAGGGGTTAGATTTAGGATGTTTCCTTTCACTGAGAAAGAAGAACTGAAGAGGAATTCTGGGTCTTTTGGCCCGAGTGACTAGGTAGATGGTAGATGGCCGTAGTATCTGCTGTGATGGGGAAACTGTGTGTGTGGGTATGCGCGTGCACACACACGCACTCACTGTCCTATTTACGTCACAGTAAGTGTGAGATGCAGCTTGGATGTCCAGCTTGGCAGCTGACTCTCTAAATCAGGGAAGAGGCTGGAGCCGGGAGTGTAAATTTGAGAGCCGTCAGCTCTGAGCTGGTGTTTTAGGCCACTGGGCTGAACGTGCCCACTTGGGGGTGAGAGCAGGGAAAGGAAAGGCTCCCCCAGGCAGACCTGCCCCACCGGGTGCGGCTTCCCCCAGCCTCGCCCAGCCCCTGCACTGACTCTGCGCCCTGCCCTGCCAGGCGTACCAGAACTGGGTGAAGAAGAATGGGGCCGAGGAGACGCTGCCCACGCTGGGCCTCACCAATAACCAGCTCTTCTTCCTGGGCTTTGCGCAGGTGAGTCCTAGGGCACAACGCCGAATGCAGGTGCATTCGGCCATCACAGGGTCCAGGGCGCAGAGCTGTGGAGCCGCAGGCAAGTTCCGCACTTGTCACACTGTCCTCGGGACATTCCCTGGCAGGCGGGCGAGCTTCCGGCTCTCGGAGGCTCCGGGAGAGACCAGGAGCGCTGACAAAAGCGTCCTGTGTCCAGTAGGTGATTGCCAAGCTCCCTTCTGGTTCTGGGGTTCTAGAAATTTCTTAAACTGAAGATATAGCATGTTGCCCCTGGAGCTGGCTTTCAGCCGATGGCCTTCGGCTGGCTCCCGGACCTACCGGGCCCTTAGACAGAGCATCGCGTCCCGGAAATATGAGGCAGGACCCAGGTTTTCAAAGTGGTCTTCAGGCAGAATCTCCAGTTCAGATGAAACCCAAGGCAGATGCATCAGACAAACAGACCCCGCTGTGGCTGGGTGGGGACTCAGCATGGTGGCATCTGCATAAGGTGCAGGTGTGGGGGCACGCCGGCCCCTGGCTCCGCCTTGCCCACCTGGAAGGCCCTGCTGACGTCCTGGGACCCCAGGACCAAGGGGAGGGGCTCGTTCAGCTGCTATGATGGGCCCAATCTGGTGGCCTCAGGGCCCCGCAGTGACCCCAGCTTCTCCCTGTTACTCCCCCAGGTCTGGTGCTCAGTCCGCACGCCAGAGAGCTCCCACGAGGGCCTCATCACCGACCCCCACAGCCCCTCCCGCTTCCGGGTCATCGGCTCCCTCTCCAATTCCAAGGAGTTCTCAGAACACTTCCACTGCCCGCCTGGCTCACCCATGAACCCGCGTCACAAGTGTGAGGTCTGGTAAGGGGCGAAGCGCAGGGAGCCGAGGCGGAGGAGGGGAAGGGGCCAAGGACAAGTCCTGGGGGTGAGGCGCCCCCTCCCGCTGGCCTCCAGGGCACGGCCCAGCCCCCTTCCCTACATGGAGAGATTGTAGCTGTCACCTTGCTGCCCGAGATGGACGTTCTCAGCATTACCTAAGATTGATCCCCATGAAGACCTGTCATCCCGGGCACCTGTGTGCCAACTTAGCGACTTCCGGGTGTCGGGCTGGTGTTCGCCGGGCCTGGGCCCCACACCGACAAGGGTGATGGGACTCAGCCCTTCACCCACATCCAGCACCAGATATACCACAAGCACCACTGTGTCAAATGCTTTAAAGATATATTTTTGGGGAAACTATTTTTTAAACATTGTGGAATACACTGGAAATCTTCAGGGAAAAAAATGCATTTAAAACACTTTTTTTTTTTAAGGAAAGGATTGGTATATTTATTATGTTCTGTTTTTCTAAATAACCTGTGGACAAAGGAAGCCCCCACTGAGGTACCCCTCACTTGGAGGCTGGGCTGAGGCAGGGGCCCCCAGGCTGCTGAGCGGGTCCCCAGATAGAGCTGCCTCAGCCCTTGGAGTACGCGAGCCGAGCTTCTGCCTTCACCCGCACAGACAGGACACTGGGGGCCAGGCAGAGGGAGGAGCCAGCTGGGGTCCCTGCTTGTGGCACAGCCCCTACCCCCGGGGTCCAACCATGGGAACCCCAGCAAGGAAGGTCTGATCCCAATGTCGCAGCAGGGGATTGGTGGCCGCAGCAGAATGAGGCCAGGTCAGGGCCCTTGAGCACGAGCGGAGAGTGCCCAAGGACCCTGTCACCCAGTGGGCCGACCCCCACATCAGGTGCACTGCTCTGCATAGATGTCCCTTCCTGTCCCCCTCTGCTGCTCACCCCGTGTCTGTCCCAGGGACCCGTTGCCTCTCTGTAGCAATCCTCTCATTCCAGCTACTTCGGGGCCTGCCTTGCTGCTCCTCTTCCCAGGGGAAGGAGAAAAGGGGCCTCAGCTCTAGTCTCCTGCAAGGTCTGGGCCTCCCTCCCTCCGAGCTCCCACCTCTGTCCCACACCGGCCTGGCCTGGTCCAGGGCCGGCTCACCAGTGCCTTATTATTATTGAGGCTGTGGCCCCCGCGTGCCACCAAGGAGAAAGCCCTGCCCCTGAGGCCCTTAGCCTCCTCAGCGGACCCCCAAGTGTCCTGACTGGAACCCTTGCTCCTGGTGCCCACAGGGCCGCCCCTCACCGCCCCCATGGCAGCGGGTCTGAGTGTCAAGAGTCAGCCACCCTGAACTTGCTGTAGGCTGTAGCCCCTTAAGCCCCATGAGGTGGACCAAAACAGTACCTGTAGCTGGACGTGCTCTCTCTTTCTTTCTGGGTGCTGTTGGCCAGAAGAGGCTGTGAGGGGAAGGTCCCCCAAGCCTATGCAGTCAGCATGTCTCATGTCGGGGATCAGGAATGCCATCCCCTCCCCGGGGCCACAGCTTCTCCCACAGGAGAGGCCTGGGCTGCACCAGGTGGAGCTCAGTGTGGCCTCGAGGCATGCCTAGGGGAGGCCAGCCCCAGGGACAGTCGGTGCCCCTGGCCAGGCCCTCCGACAGCCCATGAGGTACAGACAGTCCAGCGACTGCCCTGCCAGCCTTGGCTCAGCCTCAGAGCAGGACTGGGGGTTGGAAGCAGCCTTATCCGAGGCTCCTGGGCACCGCCGGCAAGTTCAAGGCCTGGTAGCTCTTCAGAGGCAAGACAAGACAGGAACCAGGGAAGGAGCTGGAGCCTGGTGCCAGCCACATAGTGGTGTGCCCTTCCCAGCCCTGGTCCCCTCCGCACCTCCTCTCCCTCCACCCTCTGCCTTCCCCACGGAGGGGACAGTCTGGAAAGTGTCAGCACCCCATGGAGAAGCCAGTGTCATTGTGCCCATTGTGCTGGGGGTGGGGGTTGGGGCGGGGGCTGGAGGTGCTGGACGCAGAAGCAGCTGCATGCGAGCCGCCACCCTTAGGCCCAGGAGCCGTGGGCTGGCTTCTCTGTGGGTACGCAGACCTGGGGTTTGGAGTTGGGAATCTATTTTTTGTATTATGATGTTTTGTGCTACTGTAGTTTCGGTGTGGCACTATTGTAATTGAAATAAAGTACTTGTACCGGGCCACGTGTCCAGGCGTCTGTCCTTCCACGGTGGGCTGGGGAGAACCCCCAGCCAGCAGAGAGCTGCCCACCTGGCCCCACCCAAGCAGCTCTAGCTGCTCCCAGGGTAGAGGCTGTTTGTTTTTTGTTTTGTTTTGTTTCTGCTACCGGGAATTGAACTCAGAACCTTGCACTTGCCAGGCAGGCGCTTATGCCACTGAGCTATATCCCCGGCCCAGGTTAGAGCCTTTGAACCTTGATGAATGCCAGCTTGTTCCTGCCTGCAGAGAGCCACTCCTTCACCGAGGTGCTTGCCTGAGTGCCCCTGCTGGCGAGAAAGACACTTGTCATTGCCGGAGCCCCTGCGGCCTCTAGGAAAATGTCAGATTTCCTTGTCTTGGAGCAGAGGAGTTTCCCAATCTCAGAGGCTGGGACAAGTAGGGAGTAGGGAAATTCAAAGAGGTTCAAAGAAAAGCCTTCTCTTGGGTTTGGCACATGCTGTCCCCTCTGCTGAGAGTGTTCTCCCCTGACTTCTTTGCCTGACAAACTCCTAGTCATCCTTCAGTGCCCTACTTGGCATCACCTCTAGGAAGCCCTTCTTCATGTCCCATTCCAGATCAGATGGGCTTACACAGGCTTCCATCCCCTACCAGAGCATGAGTTTTCTAGGGCTTACACAACACAGTGTTTCGTCCTGTAGTTCTGGGGGCTGGGGATTTAGCTCAGCGGCACAGCACCTGCCTGGCAAGCACAAGGTCATGAGTTTGATTCCCAGTACCGGAAAAAAACCAAAAAGAAAAGAAAGTCCTGCAGTTCTGGAGGATAAAAGTCTAAGATCCAGGTGCTGGCAGGGTTGGTTCCCTCCAAGGGCTGTGAGGGAGAATCTGCTGTGTGCCGCTTGCCCCACTCTTGGTGCCTTGCCAACACTCTGTGTCCCATCTCTGCCTTCACCTCTGTGGCCTTCACCCTGTGTGCCTGTGTCCAAATTTCCTCTTTTAGCAATTCAAGGGGCATCACAATCCCTGACTTGAAATTATACTACAAAGCTACTGTGATAAAAACAGCACAGTAGTGGCAAAAACAGACCCAGGCGATCGATGGAACAGATTAGAAGATGCAGCGCAACTCCAGGCACACTCAGCCACCTTATCTTTGACAAAGGGGCCAACCACATTCACTGGAAGAAAGATAGCCTCTTTAATAAATGGTGCTGGAAAAACTGACTTTCCACGTGGCAAAGACTAAAACTAGACCCATGTCTCTCACCATGTACTAAACTAAAATCCCAGTGGATCAAAGATCTAAATATTAAAACAGAAACACTAAATATGCTGGAAGACAGAAGAGGTAGAACTCTTTGAAGACATGGGGTAGGAAAAGACTTTATGAACTTTATTAACCCCAATCACATAGGAACTGTCAGAAAGAATTAACAACTGGAATCTTGTCTTATTAAAATGCTTTTGCACATCAGGAAAAACCACCAACAGAGTGAAGAGACAACCCATAGAATTGGAAAAAAATTTTGCCAGCTCTTTCTCAGAAAAAGGACTAATATCTAACATATATAAAGAACTCAAAAAAATCAGATCCCCCAAAGTTAAAGACCCAGTCCAAAAATGGACACCTGTAATGAATAGATATGTCTCAGATAAAGAAATAGAAATGCTAAATAAATATGTGAAAAAAATTCAGCACCGCTGGTCTTGAAAGATGCAAATTAAAACAATGCTGAGATTCTATCTCACCCCAGAAAGAATAGCTATTATCAAGAAATCAACCAATAACAAATGTTGGTGGGGCTGTGGGGAAACAAGGAACTCTTCTCCACTGTTGGTGGGCATGTAGACGGGTGCAACCCCTGTGGAAATCAGTGTGGAGATTCCTCAAAAAACTAGGACTAGAGGTTCATTTGACTAGCTATTCCTCTTCTTGGTTTCTACTTGAAAGAATTAAAAGCATCATACCACAGTGGTATGTGCACGCCCACGTTTATAGCGACACAGTGTGTAATAGCTAAATCTTGAAAACAGCCCAAACCCTCTTCAACCAATGAATGGATACAGAAGATGTATTTTTTTTAATACAGTGGAGTTCTACTGTGCCGTAAAGAAGGATAAACTTGAGACCTTTCTAGGAAATGGATGCCCCTTGAGACCATAACCTTAAATGAAATTAACCAGACACACATGTTCAAATATTGCATTGTTTCTCAGGTGTAAGAAACCAAAAGCATAAATGAGGGTTAAAATGTATAATAGATATTGAGAGATAAGAAGAAAATATTCAGGTGGGAAGGGGAATAGGGGAAGTGGGGAGGGAGAAGGGAAGGAAGGGAAAAGAAAAAAAAAGAAGGAGACATGGAAACAAAGCTTGTGTAAATAAGGCGGGGAGAGGGAGCCTAGTGTGATGGGGCACCCATGCCTATAATTCCAGCACTTGAGAGGCTGAAGCAGGAGGATCGTTGTGAGTTTGAGACCAGCCTGGGC